CACGTGATATAATAATAATAATAATAATAATATAGAACGGTGGTCGCAATAATCGAAAGTTTACACATAAAAAAAAATTTTTTATTTTTTTTTTAGGGTGGCTAATTTGATGGTGGTTGCGAACTAAATTTTTTTTTCGAGTATTCCAAAACATTTCGTAATCGTGTTTTCTATTGTTTTATTATGTTTTTATTATGTTTTATTATGTTTTTTTTGTAAAGAGATGATTTCCTGTTTTCGTACAAAAAAAAACACGTAATTTTTTTTTTTTTGTTTCTAATAATTTCGATTTCACGTGAAATTATCAAATTTTCATTGGTTATATTATTATTATTATTAAATTGTAACGATTGCGCAACGTGGCACCAACTATTATTTCATCTCGGAATGATTTTATAATCGAATGAACGCTTTTTGTAATTTTAAATAACGTTTAAATGTTCGATTAATCTAATGACACGACTTATTATTTAATTAGGTAGTAAGTAAGTTGCCGAGTTAAGATAACGAACGAAAGGCACATTTTTAATTATTTTTTCTAGAAAATTCTACGGAATCATATAATTTTTTTTTTTTCAAATTTTTTCAAAAAGGAGAAAAAAACGGATTTCCGGTTTTTATAATAATAATAATAATCGAGGGAACGTGAATTTTTTCGTCGTTACCAAAAAAAAAAAAAAAAAAAAAAACTTGACGAAAGTGAAATTAGCAAATTAACGAAAGGGAGGGAACAAAAAAAAAATTTCGTTTGGTCAATGCTAAAGGTAAAAAGATCGATTTATCGATCGATCGATTCATCGATATATCGCCAGGGGTCATACAAAATGCGACGGTTTTTTTTTTCTCTCTTTCGTTTATTACTATTTCAAGTTTTTCATTTAAACGGAATTTTTTTTTTTTAAATTTTCTACCGGACGAAAGAAAAAAATAAATAAAACAGGTTCGTCGACATTTTAATAATAATAATAATAATAATAATAATTCAAAGTGTCGTTAACGACAACTTTCACACGGTCATTACCAAACTCGCAGTTTTTAAAAACTATATTTTTATTATTATCATCATCATCATCATCATCATCTCTAATTTTTTTTTGTTTTAATATTCATACGTATCGATTATTGTTGTTGTTGTTGTTATTAATGCCTGAACCTGAACTTAAAACTGACGGCTAAAAATCTTTTAATTGAGCGGTAAGGGAAGGACCGGATCGAAACGGACTGCGAACGAACCGGATAATTTATTATTATTATTATTATCATTTCCGGTTTTTTTTTTTTCATAAATATTTCCGTTGGAAATTTCCATTTCGGTTGAAAAAGAATGGTGGGGAGGGGGAAAAAACCGGAAGTAAGAACGCACACACACGCGAAAACGCAGGTAGATGGTCTCTCTCTCTCTCTCTCTTTTTCTCTTTCTTTCTCTCTTTCTCTCTTTCTTTCTTTCAAATCCGGTAATAATTTTTTTTTTTTTAACGCTTCCGGTATTTTTTGAAAAATTAAGAAAAAATTTATTTTTTTTTTTTTTTTTTAACCGCGTAATATTTTTTTGTAGCGTTTAGCGTTTGTTGTTGTCGTTGTTGTTGATGATGATGATTGGGTCGTTAACCTTAAAAATTTAATTATATTAATAAATCAACGTGTTAATTTTCATTCATATTATTATTATTATTATTATTATTATTATTATTATTATTATTTTATAAATTAAACAATAACTTGTTTTCACTTTTCTTTTTTTTTCTTTTCTTTTTTTCTACATAATTTAAAACTTTTTCCTTTTTTTTTTTTACGCTGAAATTGATTTTTTTTACGACAGAAATTTGTTTTTCTTCGGTTCGTAAAACAAGAAAAAAATTAAAAAAATTAATTTTGCAGTGGCACCAAGACACGTTAAAACCGACGGCGCGGATAAAATAACAATAATTAAAAATTTTGTTTAAAAAAATTTTATTTTCTTATTATTATTATCATTATTTTTTTTTTGTTTACGTGTCGTCATTGAAATTGATGACGTTTGTAAAATAATTTCGTGGTTTTAGATAAAAAAAAAAAAAAAAAAATTATTTTCCTTATATCAAATTGGAATTCGATTCATCTTTTCTGACGTATTAGAACGATTAAATTTATTCAAAAGCGATTCGAGTAGACGTGGAAATCGAAAAAGAAAAAAAAGATCTTTAAAGTCGATGTTGTAGGTCAAAGGTCGTTTTGGCAAAACGGTTGTTTGTTGTCTGTTGTTGTTCGTTGTTGGTAAAAGGAAAAAAAACAAACGCGGGTGTAAAGAATTTAAAAACGATTAAAATTTATTAAATAAAGGGAGGGAGGGAGGGAGGGAAAGAGGGGAAAGGGTAAATTTGAAAGTAACAAATTATGCAATTATTCACACGGGTAACACTGATAATGATAAAAGGTCATGAACCCGAAAAGGTTAATAAAATGAGGAAGAAGGGAAAATAAACGCGCTCGTGATGTTTTACATATAAAAATCTCAAATTTTTTTTCCTTTTTCAATAATTTTTCCTTTTTTTATAAAAACCCGTTCGATTTTGGGTCTGACAAAGGAAAAGGAAAGGGAAAAAAAAATTACATTTTCCAATGATCAAATAGTAAATTAATAATAATAATAATAATAATAATGATACGTTTCAGTCTATAATTTCGTAACGTTTTTTTTTTTTTTTATAGATTTTTTAATTCGTGAAAGTTTTTTTCTTTCTTCTTCTTCATCTTGTTTTTTTTTTTTTTTAATATAGTTGTTTTGAAAATTATATTTCCTCATTTATTTTTGTATAATTTTATTTTCGGGAGGAAGAGGGGGAAGGGGGAAGGGGCAATTTATTCCACCACAATTAAAAATCATATATATATATAAGAAAATTAATGGCGGAGGTTTAAAATTTGCGATTCGCATTTAACGAATTTTTTTTTTTTTTTTTTTTTAAATCGACTTCTTTAAAAATTCATTTATTTTAATGTTTATTTATATATTTGTTTAAATAAAATAAAATAAAATTATTTATTTACAAAGTCGTAAAAAGAAATTAAAAAATCAAGTTGTTGAAAACTTACTTTCCATTTTTTTTTTTTTTTATTAATAAGATAAAAGTGAGTCTTGTTGTACGAGTGTCAAGTCGTTTGTTAAAAACTTGATCAACCCGGTTAATAATTCCAAAGGGGAATTTTTTACGAGTAAACACAAATATTTACAAAAAAAATGGCGAATCTCACTTAATCGAATGCAAATTAATTGAAATTGTATTGAAGAAAATTCTCTCGATCCGGATTTTTTCATTTTATTATTAAAAAAGATGTTTACGTTTATCGCGTGATTTATTTATTTATTTAATTTTTTTTTTTTGCTATCGTTTTGCTAGCTTTTTGCTATCGTTTGCTAGATATTGATATTAGCAAAAAACGGATGTCCCGATCGCGTTTAGAAAAAATTTTATTATTATTATTATTATTATTTTTTCTTAAATATTTTTCAAATGAAAAAAAAAAAAACTTCACTCGCCTCTGAAAAAAATTATTTATACTTTTTCATTGACGTTTTCGTTTTTAAAAAAGCATAAACAAAAAATTTTCAGGTGTAATTTTTGCTTTTATAAAATTGTTGTATTTGAAAAATTATTATTATTATCATCAATTATTAAATATTATATTAATATCTTTCATTAATAATTTTTTTTCGGTTAAATAATTAAATAAAAAATGGGTAAAGAAAGAAAAGGGAAAGAGAAAGAGAGAGAGAGAGAAATTTTCTAGTTCGATGAACGTTGCATTCACCGTCTTGCACTGTCAAATTTTTATTAAAAAAAAATAATAATTAAAAAAAATTCTATTATTACTATTATTATTATTATTATTAATTAATTAATTACCGTTTATTAATTTTTTAATTTTTAGAGCGTGAAAATTATTATACGGTATGATATTTTAAATGTGAATATTAATTATTTTTTACACGAGAATTAAAACGCGAAAAAAAAAAATTTCCATTTGCCGCGTATTGAATAATTAAAACGTATCAATCAGTGAATGAAAAGGTTGTGACGTAACGAAAATAATAAATTTTCGAGTTAATGTCTTCGAGATTTCGATATATCGTTTTGATTTTCGATATATCGTTTTGATTTTTCTATATATCGTTTTGGTTTTTCGATATATCGTTTTTGAATATTAATTTATTTACTTAACGGAAATAATAATTAAAAAAAAAAACAAAAAATTAAATTTTATTCATAAATATTTTATTGTGAATTTAAATGAAAATTAACATTTAATCACGTGGTACATATCAATGTTTACATGCTGATAAGAGGGGAAAAAACAACTGATAAGAAATATACTAATAAATATTAAATTAATTTAAAAAAAAAAAAATCTAACCTAACCAGGTTAAAAGAAAATAATTCAAAAAATTTTTTAAAAATAATAATAATTTTAATTAAATTAATAATTTTAACAAAAAGTGATTTGTTTAAATAATAATAATAATTAATAATTATTTGCTTGAGACAAACAAACGAACAAACACACAAACGTGTAAATAATAAATATAGTGAGAGATTATCTAAGGGGACTTTGAGTTGTTGTCGTAGTTACGGATATCAAAAGACCATCGACGAAAGGTTTGAGAGTTGATGACGTCAATTTCCGTGAATTTTTTTTACGACCGTTTCCGTTTCCTTCCGTTTCCTCTTCATCATCTTCCTCCTCTTCTTCTTCTTCTTCTGCTTCTTCTTCTTCTTCTAATTCTTCTTCCTCTTCTTCTTCATCATCATCTTGTTCTCCTCCTTCTTCCTTTTCATTATGTTTTTTTTCTTTTCCTTTTCTTTCATTGTTTGTTTGATTGTTAACGTCTTTGTCATCATCACCACCACCACCACCACCACTTCCACTCACATCGGAACGCCTTTTAAAATAATAATTTTTTCTATACGCTGTGGAAACGAAAAATATATGAATAAACACACACACACCGTGACGTGACGTGTTTAATGACGTAATTTCCTAGTCGAACCTGTGTAATCATCTTCATCTTCTCCGCTATTGTCATCATCATCTTTATAATCCGAATTGTCTCCATCCTTTTTCCAACCGTGATGTTGTTCGCTTACCCCAATCCTGTATTTCCAAGGTTTCGATTTTCTTTTTCCCAAAGTTCTAAAACTTTTGCTTTCGATGTCGTCGTAATAAAAATCGTGATGTAAATATTCGTCCGGATATTCTGAAATTTTAAAATATACACGTGAAAATCATCATTTTTTCTCCCACCGCCCCGGTTTTAACGGTTTTTTAACACGTGGCAAAGTGACATAAACATACCGTGGCTAGATTTGTCGTAGGTTCTATACGGTCCGCGTTTGTACACTTCGTGATGATGATGATGATGATCGTATTCTTTTTTATGATGGTGTTCGTGTTTGATGACGTGGATTTTCGGCACGTAAACTTTTTTAAAATGGTGAACGTGTTTCACGTAATAAGGCACGTGAATTTTTTTTCGTAGGATGTATTTTTTCGAGGGCATAAATAATATCATTATTAATATTATTTTTTATTAAGAATTCAATGGACGTTTTTAATTGATTTTTTTTGTGACGTTCTCTGATTGGTTGTTGAGTTTGTTGTTGTTGTTTGTTCGAATCAGAAAGTTTTGTTTGATGTTTGTGAAAAAAAATTTTGTGTTACTTACTTGACTCCCGAATGACTGATCCTAAGGCATAGAACAAGAAGAATCAAAACGATGCTCGTCTGAAAAAAAAAATCAAGACAATTAAATTTTTATCAAAACTGTTTCCGGTTATTTTATTTAATAGACAGAATCGAAAAATTGTTGTTGCGTTCATTTCCGGAATGATAGCGTCAGGATTTTGATTTTGTAATTCGTATTAATCGTAGCAAAATCTTTGTTTTGTTTGTTTTAATCTCTTTATCGGTAAAAAATGATTATCGTTATTATTATTTAATTAATTTTAATAGGCGAATTAAATAATTAATATTATTTATTTAAATTTATCTAAATACACGACATGAGAGATGAAATGCACGAAAGAACAAACGAACGATTGTTAACGATTACGAAAAAAAAATTTTTTTTTTTTTTGGTTTGTTATTTGTTTGTTTTTGTCGTCTTCACGGTTGTCGTTCTCGTCGTCATGGTCATTGTCGTCGTCGTCATTGAATAAAAAAAAAAAAATTGTAGGGGAAATTTTAAAGTTAGTATAAAAATATTGACAGAATAGGTAAACTAAACGGAAAAATGAGAGAGAGAAAGAAGGAAAAAAGAAAGAAAGAGGAAGAAAAAGAAAAGGAAGAAAGCATAAGAGAAGAAGAGAAAGGGAGGAAGAAAGAAAAATAAAAAGAGATAGGAAGAAAGACAGGAAAAATGACAGAGAGAAAGAGAGTGAGTGAGAAAGTAAGAAGAAAGGAAGAAAAAAAGAGAGGGAGAGAGAGAAAGGAGGAAAGGGAGAAAGAAATGGAAAAAAGAGGGGGGAAGAGAGAGGAAGAGAGAAAGGAAGACTGGAAAAAAGACAGAGAAAGAGAGAGAGAGAAAGTAAATATGTGTTTGTACTTATACGTGTTTATCCGTTTGTCGTGGCTACAAAAAAAAAAGAAATTTTAATATGAACAAATTAGTCTTTACGATTCTTATGCCACTAAAAAAAAAAAAAATATATAAAAAGCGCGCCATTTTTAAATTTCAGTTATTGTCTATGATCCGGAAAAAAAATTTTTTTTTTTTTAATTTTAAATTATTTCTGATGACACGAAAAGTTTTTTTTTTTTTTTTAATTTTGCTTTCACAAAAACAAAAAAAAAATTGAAATTCGTAATTTTTTTTACCCGGTAAAAAAATTAAATCGAACGGGGGGGGGGCGCATTTAAAAATTTTATACACTTTTACTTTAATAATAATAATAATGATGATGATGATGATGATGATGATGATGATGATGATGATGATGATAAAATTAAATGACCAATTGTGTAATGCACGTGATCGATTTACTATATAATAAAATTATAGCAAATAATAATATAGTCATATTTAACACAATAATAATTTTAACAACGTACACGGAATCAATAGGTAATAATTTATTATTATTATTATTATTATTTTATAGCAATTTATAGTCTTTGTCAACTCTATAAACGACTCAATTATCATAAAAATATAAATTTTTTTTTTAAATTTTGGCGGTCGTCGAAAGTTTTTTTTTTATTTTTTTTTCTTTCACTTTCTAAATTTTTTTTTTTTTATCATTTGCTATGAAGTATAAGATAATAATTAACTGTAGCAAAAAATATTAATAATAATAATAATAATAATAATAATAATAATAATAATTTTCTCCATAAAAAAATTAAAATTAAAAAATTAAAAAAATTAAAAATCATTCCGTTTTCGTATGAGTTAATTATGGAAAGAAAAAAAATTTTTTTTTAAATTTTTTTATAGTCTATAATTATGCTAGAAAATTACTATAAAAGCTTTATTTAGAAATTTTTTTTCTAGTTTGGCAATTCCTTTTTTTGAGAAAAAATCCCGGATAATTTTTTTTTTTTTTGGAAATAATTAATAAAAAGAAAAAGTTAATAATAAGAAAACGAAAAGTAATTAGTAAATAAATCATTATTATTATTATTATTATTATTATTATTATTATTATTATTATTATTATTATTATTATTATTATTAAAATCAATTAAAGAGTTTTAATGCTCTATTTAAATTATTTTTAATCGGTTCATAATTATATACCGAGTATGGAGTTGATAAATTGCAGGTTGGCCAACCTTGTTTTAATTTTTTTTTTTTTCACTCAGTGAAAATCAATAAAAAAAAATAAATAAATATTATTAGTAATGATAATAATAATGATGATGATAGTAAATGATTCGCGACTGGGTTCGATGGTTTTTTGCTGGTAGCAGACGATAAAAAATTAAAAAAAAAAAAGTTCGGATTTGCGAAGTGTGTTTTAAGCGCGTGCGAAAATGTTTTATGCGGTTGTGATCATTAAAAAAAATTATTATTGTTGATTAAAATGGCATTTAATGTAATGTAATTCTCATTGATGATGATGATGATGATAATGATGATAATGATATTTGTACGTCATTCACATGTGCGTGTATGCGTGTGTGTTTTGTTCTTCGTCGTCGTCGTTAATGTCGAGAGTAAACATGGTGTTTTGAAGTAATAGAAATACTCAAAAGTGCTTAGAGATCTTTGCAGAAGGGTTTAAAAAGAGAAAGAGAGACAGAGGGATGATCAAAAAGACATTGAGAAAAAGAGAGAAAGAAAAAAAGGGAGAGAGAGAGAGAGAGAGAGAAAAAGGGAGGAAAAAAGAGAAAGAGAGAGAAAGAGAGAAAAAGGGAGGAAAAAAGAGAAAGAGAGAGAGAGAGAGAGGAAAAGGGAGGAAAAAAGAGAACAAGAGAGAGGAAAAGGGAGAAAAAAAGAGAACGAGAGAGAGGAAAAAGGAGGAAAAAAGAGAGAGAGAGAGAAAGGAAGAAAAAGGGGAAAAGAGAGAGAAAATGGAAGAAAAAGAGAAAGAGAGAGAGAGACAGAGAAAAGGATGTATGGTTAAGGGTACAAGGAAAAGGTAGCGTTTTATTAGACCGAATTTAGTAAAAAAAAAATTATTTTCCTTAAAATGATAAATCATAAAATACTTTAGTTCAGACAGCCAACCTTTTCAAAAAAAAAAAATAATAATAATAATGAAAATAAAAATGGCGATGATAATTATTTACTTTACCCGTATTTTATCACTTAATTTATTTTTTATTCTTCAAACGAGTGAAATTTAAATTGTTTTTTTAACCGCGAAAATTTTTAAATTATCATCGCCGTCTATATTCATTTTAAAAAAAAAATAACTTAATTATTAATTTAGTAATTTAAAAAAAAAAAACAAAAAAACGACCGCAGCGTACATTCTTTTTACGGGGGAAAAAAAAAGAAAAATGGCGGCCGCGGGGTCGGAATTTAAAAAAAAAAAAAAAACTAATTATTGCGGTGATTATTAAAAAAATATTAACTGAGGGTATATTTTATCAAAATATTTTTTTTCAAAACGTATCAGGGCGCACCGGATATCGAACACGCGAGAAAATCACCCCGGAAAAACAAAAATAAAAAAAAATTTTGGAAAATTCACGAAAACGGTAAAAAAAAAAAAAAAATCAACCGGAAAAAAATTTTATAAATAATTATTAATAAATACTTTATTATTATTATTATTTCGTCGACGATCGAATGTGATGATGATAATGATGAAAATATGTGTAAAAAAAAATTTTCTCCAGGACTCATTTTTTTAAAATCAAACCGAAAAAAAAAAAATTTTTTTCAAACGAGCTTTTATATCATTTTCTCTCTCTCTCTCTCTTTCCAGTAAAACCGTCAAATAATTAATAATAATAATAACAATAATAATGATAATAATAATGAATTAATTTCTACTTATTGTTAATTTAAAAAAAATTATCCGTTACAAAAAAAACGCTGGAGAAAAAAAAATCCAATTTTTTCGTTCTTTCCAAAAAACGACGAAATTCACGCGCACGCACCCGCAAAAAAAAAATTCACAAATAATAAAATTTAAATTTTATAGCGCGAAACTATAACTATAACTATAAAACAACAACGACCGCGTTAAATTTTATAAAATCGAAAAAAAAAAATTTATAATTAATAATAATAATGATAATAAATGAAAATTACCAATTTTGCGACCGTCATCTTGAATTATCCAAAACGAAATGATAATAAAATTAAAAAAAACAATTTTTGTTGTTGTTATCGTCGTCGTCGGTTAATTTTATTATTATTATTATTAATAATACTATTAATAATAATAATTTTGAATTCGATCGGTATAAGACGGTTGAAGTACACAAACTATGTAATCCGAATCATCTTTCTTTCTAAGGACAAAATTTGGCGTTGATATTAAAATGGTGGGGAGGAAGGAAGATGGATAGAAAGAAAGAAAAGAGTTGCTTTTTCTTCTTCTTCTTCTTTTGCTATTATCAAGTTCATGGCGGCGGCACGAGTTTTAAAAAACGGTCAGCCATCTTTTTTTTTTTTTTTTTGTTAAATCACTCTCTCGATGAACACGAGAGAAGCGGGAAAGTTTTTTTTTGAATGATTTTGCAAAACGTGACGACTACGCCACAAGACGCCATTTTTTTTTTTTTTTGTAAAACGGGGAAAAATTAGAATTTTGATTTAAAAAATTACGACTCTCGTTTCCTCCAGTAGGATTTAAAATAAGTCACGTGGTTGTATAAACCGTAGGAAAATTTTTTTGTAAATCATTTTTTTTTCGTCTTTGCTGTTGTTGGTTGTTTTGTCGTCTTTTTTTTTTTATGATTAATTCATTCACTGATTGATTGACTTAAAAATTAGAACGAGAATGTAAGGACCTACATTAACGTATTTGGAATGTTGTTCGGTCAATAATAACGAAAATGAAATTATTATGGAATCGTAAAAAATTTATTCGCGAGATGATAAGATAAAAATGAAATGAAAGGTTTTGTGAATAGTGAATGCGTCGTGGAATTAGATTATTCGGACGTGGGATAAGAATTTAATTCCGTCTGTTAGGAAAATTGATAAAGAGAAAGGATGGGGGAAGGAAAAAAAACAAAAAAAAATTTGAAATAACGTATTCGAATACGACCTTGCCAAATGTTTAAATTTTTTGTTTCATAAAACGATATATCGAACGATTCATCGATAAATTAATTTTTTAATATTTAATAATAACGAATTTTTTAGTAAAGAAAATACGAAAGCAAAAATGAAACAAAAAAAAAAGTTACGAGAGAGAGAGAGAGAGAGAGAGGAAGGGGGACCAGAGTGAAAACAAAGTGGAAGTAGAAAGGAAATATTTTTTATTTTCTTTTTTTTTTTAAAATAACGGTCGCATATTTTTCAATTTTCACGCACGATTTAATTGGTTTAAAAAACCGAAAAAAGAAAAAAAGAAAAAATCACGACGCGGTTAAATTAAAAAAAGGAAAAAAAAAATGGCTACCGCTAAAATCAAAATGGCGACCGACATGTATTTTAAAAAAAAAATGAAAATCGATTTCCCACAAAATTTTCATCCGTTATTTTTTATGATGTGACCACCACGTGTCATTTAATTATTTTTATATTTTTCAAAACTTTCGTCGCCTGCTATAAGAAAAAAAATTTTATTTATATTTTCACTTTCCATTTAGGGAATGAATGAATGAATGAATGAATTTTCGAGTAACGATATTCGTCGTACGTCAGGTCACTTCTAAATAATAATTAAATCATAATTTTTATTTTTTTTCTTCCTTCCACGTCAAAGTAAAATAAATATTAATTAATAATGACGTGGAATCGGATTTTCTCAATCGGGGGGGGGGGGGCAGGGAAGGGAAAATGATTCCGATACTTTTTGAATAACCTTCGTCGTTTCCTTTTCTTATATCGTAACAGCGAAAAAAAAACTCAAGTCCGTATATGATGACAATTAAAAAATAAAAAATTAACTTTCTCTGCCACTTCATCAAGTGCACGGTTAAGGTTAGTACGCATCTATTTACACGTTTACACTTGCAAAAAAAACAAACGAACAACAAACGAACAAACAGATGTTTTATTGCGACTCCGGTTCTTTAAAAATTTTTTTTTTTTTTTTTTAATTAATGATTCATTAAATTATTCATAATTTATTATCATTATTATCAGTATTATCATTATCATTATCATTATTATTATTATTATTATTATTATTGCAGTCCGTTAAGTTTGCGTTTGTCGTGGTTTTAATTTTTGAGTAAACCGATGTGTGTTCGTTTTGGTGGAAGTAAAAAGAAAGGAGGAAAATTTTTGTAAAAATTAAAAAACCCCAAAAAAAAAGAAAAAAATTTTCACACGTATTATTATCATTATTATTATTTGTTACTAATACAAAAAATAGCGCTATAAAAAAAATGAAAATTATAGCGACGAAAGTAACACAAAAAAACGAACGGCGCCATTTTTTTTTTTTTTTTTGTTTCTGATTCGCGTACGTTTATCGAAATGTTTTCACGACGATAATAAATTTAGTGAAAGCCATCAAAGAAAAAGAAAAAGATAGTTTTCAATTACTTCCGGAGAAGTTTAACTTTTTTTTTTTTTAAAATAAAAGTGGTACTAGATTCGAAGGAAAAATGACAAATCAGGATTGACTTATCGTATATATGTTGGTAATTAAAATAAAATCTGAGGAAATATGTAACCGGATGTTGATGAAGAGTTTTATAATTTTATAAAAAATTTTATTATAACTTTTCAGTTGCCATTTTATTTAATTTAAATTTACGCGGGAAACGTAAACCGGAAATGGTTCGTTATAAATGTTTGCCTTTCAATTAAATTTTTAAAAAACAAAACCACAATTTGTTTTGTTTGTTTCTTTGTTGGTTGATGCAATTTCGATATATTCAAAAAATTGGGGAGATGGAAATTAAGTTTTACTCCGGAAAGTTGGCAGTACTGATTATATATATTTTTTTAACGTGGCGGAAAACGTGAACGATGAAAGAGAAGGTTCGAAAGTAAAAGTATTCTATTGTTTCGTCGAGATAAATTACAGATGCACGCTTATCATTTTTATCATTCGTGAGAGAGAAAAAAAAACCAAGATGGCTTCCGGTAGTTGAGACAATAAACGTGGAGATAATACATATAACGAGTCGCGCATAATTTTTTTTTTTTTTTTAGTTTCACTTTGCGAATATCGCTTTTAAAAAAAAATTTTTTTTTGAAATTAATTTCTTGTTTTTGATTTTTTTTTGTTTTAAATAACCACTTCCGGTAACGATGTTGAAGTTTTCTTTTTTTTATCTTATTCTCGTGCATTTTTTAGAGTATTTTTTAGAGAGAATTTTTTTTGAAATGGAAAAATTACTGGTAAAAAAATATGGGATCATGTTTCAGGGTTGCCAACCTTTTTTTTTTTCTTAATTTGACGTCGAAAAACATTTTTTTGAAACAATTTTTTTTTGTGACGTTGTATCGTTTTTTTTAAAGGAATTGATTTTTTTAAGAATTTTGAAAAATTTAAAAAAAATGTTGGCAACACTGATGACGTCATGCAGGGAAAAAAAGAAAGAAAAACAATTTTAAAATAAAAAAACATTTTTTATTTATTTTTTTTAATAAACAAAACCATGTTTTGAAAACAATTAAAACATAACAAAAACAATTTTTTTTTTTCAATAAGAAAAAAAACGTAAAAAAGTGCATTAATCAATCAATCAATCATTCAATCAATTCATTGATTATAATAATAATTGTGCTCGATATTAAAAATAAAATCTAAAAAAAAATTGATTGGTGTGCGTGTGTGCGTGTGATAACTCGTTTTATGATAATGAAACGTAGTAACAATTAGGTAACGATGGGGAAAATTTTTTTTTTTTTTTTTTGGTAACAAAAGTTGTCGTTCTGTAAATAAAAAAAAAAAAGGAACAAAGTAGAAAAAAAGTTTGTTTGTCTGTACAAGAGATCAAAAATATGGCAGTCGTAAATGGAGAAAATAAAATTTTAGAAATTTTTATCACTTGAAAGTAACGAAGAGAAAGAGAGAGATGGGGGGGAAAGAAAAATGGCGTCCGTGACGTCAGGGGAAAATGACGCGAATAAGTAAATGTTATGACGTCAAAATCTTTACGTGAACGACTTGTGTGAGAGTTTAAAGGCTGTTTAATAGCCTGGAAATTCGTAAACTTGATAAGGGTTGTTTTTTGGATTAATGGCGAGGCCATCTTTGAAGGCATTTAGTTCACCCTCTATGGAAAAGAAATTGTTTGGAATTTGTTTTCCAATTCTCTCGCCAACATTTTCACCTTCTGCTCTGTTTTGCTCACCAATATCTTTACCAAAAGATTTGGCAACAATGTCAATTCCGGCTAACGATGTTTGTTCGAGTGGGTTAAAATCGGCTAAGTTGGTAGCTTGAGCGTTGAGGGCTGGATTCGAAGCTCCGGATGAGTATTCCAAATTTCCTTGTTGGTTTTTGTTCACGGTGCTCGGAAAGGATTGAGATTGTTCTTGAATGGGTTCAGATGCACCAACTTTTGGAAGAGGTTCAGAAAAATGACCGTAGCTGTCACCGTCTTCGTAATAACCTGAATTGTACGGAGGGCTGGCGTATGCTTGAGAGCTTTCAGAAAATTCGGCGTAATCGCCGTGGCTGCTTCCGTGATGGCTGCCTTTGTAGTGACCAATGTGACCGTCGTGCTTGTGTCCGACGTGACCGGCATGTTTGTGTCCGACGTGACCCTCATGACCGTGGCCGATATGTCCCTTGTGATCGTGACCGACGTGTCCTTGGTGACCGTGACCAATGTGTCCTTTGTGATTGTGACCAACGTGTCCTTCGTGGCCATGTCCCACATGACCCTCGTGTCCGTGGCCGATGTGTCCCTTATGTTCATGTCCGACGTGTCCTTCGTGGTTGTGTCCAATGCTACCCTTGTGTCCGTGTCCGACATGACCTTCGTGTCCGTGACCGATGTGTCCTTCGTGTGCGTGTCCGACATGTCCTTCGTGTTTGTGTCCAATGCTACCCTTGTGTCCATGTCCGACATGACCTTCGTGACCGTGACCGATATGACCTTTGTGCTCGTGTCCAACGTGACCCTCGTGTCCGTGGCCGATGTGTCCCTTGTGACCGTGTCCGACGTGACCTTCGTGTTTGTGTCCCACATGACCCTCGTGTCCGTGACCGATGTGTCCCTTGTGACCGTGTCCAACTTGACCCTCGTGTTTGTGTCCAATATGACCTTGGTGTCCGTGGCCAACATGTCCACTGTGTCCGTGATCTACAGCTCCGTGATATTTGTGATCGACATATCCGTGATGCTTGTGATCGACACCCACGGAACCATCGTATTTGTGATTGTGAATGTGATGAAGTGGAGCCGTTTTCAATTCACCCTTGTGTTCGTGAATGTGCTTGTGAACGTGTTCAAATTTACCCACATGTTCCACCTTAGCGTGTCCCTTATGATCGTGATGATGTCCGTGATGATGATCGCTATGACTTCTTTTTTCTTTTTTCCCCGGAACCTTTACTAGTTTATATACCATATGCGAGTGTTGTCTTAATTGTCCTGGCACACCATGTAAAGCTGGTACTTCTAAAGTTATTTTCCTGTTGGAAAAAAAAACAAATTAGTAATTTGACCCTAAATCTCATGCCCTCCAATTTGAAACAAAAAGCTAAAAAATTCATTTTAAAAAGTTAAGCTTTATCGTATGTCATAAATGTGATTAAAAATCAACTTACGATTCGCCTCCTTCTACACCCAAAAAATTGATCGAAGCTGAGATGAAACAGGAAACCAGCTATAAAAAAAAATACATGCATATAATTTGTTATTTAAATATAGCGCTATAGTGTCGTACATATATAGTTTTTATAGACTATAAATATTCGTTCAGGCTATAACTTATATATATTTAATTAAACAAATCTTTCCCTAAATTATAGCGTCACCATTGTGCCTCTTTCTCATTCATTCGTAAAAATTATACAATCATCATCAAGCCTTTGTCGATTTTGCTTGTCCAGATTTTCTCCAGTCGCTTGATTTTTTACATATATAATAATAATAATAATAATAATAATAATAATAATAATAAATAAAATATTTTGTATTGATTTACTTACTAAAATTCTGAAATCCATTTTGCTTCTCAGCTGATCGAATATTTGAACGAATTTACTGATAGACTGTCGACGATTCTCATTTTTATACCTTATTTTTCTTTCGGCGGTTATTGCAGGATCCCTTCCACAACAGAGGCCTATTGTGGCGGTTTATGTCAGGTAACCTGGATGGGTGCGTGTAGACAACAATCAACGGTTCATTTATTTTGCGGATTTCCTTTCCCCTGACCGCCATTTTTTTTTTTTTTTGGTTTTAGCCGTGTTGGTTAAAAATATCGTTTAAATTGGAAAAAAGAATTTTCTTTTTTTTTTGTCGAACCGTAAGTAAAAATTTTTTTTTGCGTTTATTTTAGAAAGTTTCTTTTTTTGGTCGTTTGTTGTTATGATTTTAAGCACGACGTCATTTTAGATAACAACCGGACATCATTATAACGAATCGTTTAAATGCGAGGGGGGTAAAAAGGGAACGTTTAGGGAACCCGTGACGTAATCACCAAAAGGCAATTTTATGATTATTTTAAAAAATTTGTGAATCCGCTCCCGAGGAATCGTTTCTAGTAAACCTAAAATGTATTCATCAATGATAATAATAATAATATTATTATTATCCTCGTAGATTGGGCGAAAGAGGAAATCTTGCACCTAGATCGAAGGACACGAAAGACACTGACAAAGAGTGGTGCGTTGCATCCTAAAGCTGATATAGACAGAATGTACGTTAGCGGGAAGATGGGGTAAGAGGGCTATGCCAAATAGAAGCGGCGTACCAGAATGCCATAATTGGCATGGGAAAATACATGGAGTCCGATCAACAGCACTCCATCTTAGCCCGAACAGTGATAATGGAAGAAATAATAACAAAAAGAGGAGTTCTCAAAAGATCGCGGCAAATAGTAGACGAAAATTAAGAACATGAACTGGAGGAAAGACAGCTTGGAAATTATAATAGCAAAGCCAACCCCAAAAAAAATTTAAAAGCAAGTGGGAACAGAAAAAGTTGCATGGAGAATATTTGAAAAGAGTAAACGCTTCAGACATGAACAAGAAAAGCACGCACAACTGGTTAAGGCGTGGTAAGTTAAAGGTTGAAGCAGAAGTGTTTATTACAGCTGTACAAAACCAAGCACTACAGACTCATAACTATGAGAAGGTAAGATGCCGAATTTGTCAATCGCAGTCGGAAACCATCGACCTTTTAATTTCCAGCTGCCCGATATTGGCAAAACATAAATATCTGGAGAGACACAATAAAATTTGTCAATAACTCCACTGGAACATCATCTGTCGCGAATATGGAATGAACGGATTACCCAAGGAGTGGTACGACCACATTCCAAGCCCGGTTACGACAGGAGGTTCATGCATAGTTCTGTACGACCAACAAATCCACTCTAACAGAACTGTGCCAGCCAACAAACCGGATATCATCCTGAGAAGCATAATGCGGAAAAATGGTGTAAACTGATTTAAGTATCCGTGCCACACCAGAACAAGAACACACCAGACAGCCAAAGAAGCGGACAAAAGGCTGAAATAGCCAGAATGAGAGGAGTAAAGTAACAGAAACGATTCCAGTCATCGTGGGAGCAGCACTGGGAGCCGTGATGCCACATTCAATAAAAGGAAATTTAAAAGAAGAATCCATCCTGGAAATCGCACCATGTGGGACAGATAAAAATCTTTAAAAATGAAATAATAATAATAATAATTTGTGTGTGTGTGTCAATTAGGGTTATGAAAAATATCGATTAATACCACAGTCAGAAATAATAAAAAAAAAATTTACTGTTAACCTGGAACACTTTGGAGTAAGTGTTGCGGTTTTTCCAGAAGGAAAACATCCGTTCGGTTTATAATTTTTTTTTTTGTAATATTCATTCAACGCATTTCGTTCTTCTTCTTCTTCTTTTTTTTAATAATCCAATAGAATAATAATAATAATAATAATAATAATAATATTTCATGCGAAAATGTAGGAAGTGACCGAATGCAAACCCAAAATATTGTTTATAATCGTTTGTATTTTTTAACGACGTGACGCCATTTTTATTAAAAAATTATTATTATTATTATTGTTTGGTCAACCCAAAATATCGATAATTTTCTTTTCTTTTCTTTTTGTTAATTTAAAGTCATTAAAAAAAAAAAGTCAAGAAAAACAAATTAAAAATTTTTTTTGAAATAATTATTAGAGTGTTAGTTTTTTTTTGTTACAAATGTAAAAATTGTTGTTGTTGTTGTTGGCAAAAATTTTTGTGGCTAAATTTCGAAATAAGGAAGTTACGACTTTGCGGTGATCGAGCATGACAATTTTAAAATAAATACATTTTCTCCCCCCCCTCCGCTCCCCCCCCCCGACGCAACGCGAATTAGAGTCAATTTTTATATAACTAATTAATATGAATCTAAAATATTCCAATGTGGAATTTGTACTCCGTAAAAAAAATGGCGACGATAAACCATAGACGGTGAAATTTAATATGTTGAGGGAGGGGATAGAGTTAGCTCGCGAGGAGAGTCGTGGACTCCGAGGGCGGCGCCCGCGTGGCGGCACTGAAAAAGGAACTCGCTCTGGCTCGGAGCCAGATCGAAAAGTTAAAGAAAGAAAAAAAACGGGGGAGGTGAACCGGGCTTTTTCTGGGACGGGGGGAATGGCGGGCGCGCAAAAGACGACCGTGTCGGAAGCCAGCGCGAACGCGAGGGAGGTGACTGCGTCCCGGGCCGCAGTCACCTCGCCTATGTCACTGCGGCCCACGAGGTCGTTTATGCCGGCGTTTGCATCGCGGTGCGGCCACGAAAGGGGGGAAAGCGTGCGAAACGCGTCGCTGCAGGCGAGAGAAAGAAAATCGATGAATCCGCTCCTGCTAAGGAGGTGCGGCCGCGGTGGTGTTGAACAGGAACGAGAATACCAAATCCTTCGGAGGACTTCGCGGAGGACTTGGCCGCCGCGAGAGATCACGTGGATCTGGCAAAGTTACGAATCGACTTCCTTAGGATCCGTTCGTCCGCGAACGGGGGGAGGGTTTTCGAAATCAAGGGTAAAAACAGAGCGGCCAAGGCGGCGGAGTTGGCCGCGGAGCTTTCGAAGGTCGTGGGGCCGATGGGGGTCACGACGACGTGCCCCGCAAGAAGGGTCGACCTCTGAGTCCGCGACGTCGTACGACGTCGCTCTCGCGTTGTCCAGGGCGGTCGGATGTCCCGCTATTTCCGACGTTTTGGTGCGTCCTCCGGTCGGAGGGGGTGCACGACCGCGATTAGGGTTCGCGTCTGTTTTCGCGGCCGCCGCGTCCGTCCTCCTCGAGGCGGGCAAGGTGACCGTCGGTTGGGTGAGAGCGCGGGTGGTTCTCCCGCCGAACCGAAAGGCCGTGTGTTTCAGGTGCCTCAACCCGGGACACCTGGGCGCGCGGTGTCCCAAATTCAAGGGTAGAGTAGAGGGAGCGCAAGAACGTTGCTTCAGGTGCGGAGGGACGGGGCACCGGACGCGCGATTGCGCGAACTCGATTCGTTGCGCGGCGTGCGCAAAGGCCGGCCGTCCGGCTAATCACCGGTTGGGCGGTCCTTCGTGTTCGGCGCCTTCGGTCAAGGGCAAAGCCATCCGTTGGGGTGCGACTGGGGTGCAGGAGGGTAAGACGCAAGAGACTTCTTCGTGCGAGCCGAGAACGAAAGGCTCTGCCCAGAGTTCGACGTGAGCATGGCGAAGTTTCTCCGAGTCAATTTAATTCTCTGCAGGGGAGCGCAAGATCTCTTGCTCAATCAGGTGGGCGCGTGTGAGGTCGACGTCATCATGATTTCGGAACCCTACGTCGTTCCGAAAAGGGGAGATAGCCGCGACGGTTTTTGGTTCCGTTCCGAGGACGGCGCGATACTATTCTCGAACTCGGGTCGGACGCCGAGGCCTCGAGAGCTGTCTCGGGGGGAGGATTAAGTTCTGGTCGGATGGGGAAACGCGGTTCTGGCGTCCGCTTACGCGTCGCCGAATCGTCCCGTCGGCCAGTTCGAAAATTTCTTGCACGAGCACGCGAGGAAGATCGATCGGTTTGGGGGGAGTCTCGTCCCACTCTCGTCTGCGGCGACTTCAACGCTAAGCATGTCTCGTGAAAACGCGCGCGTCCGACTTCTCAAGGAATCGTTCGATTCGCGTCATTTCGTCGTGTGAAACAAGAGGGGGGCTAAAACGTGCGTGCGGGCCACTGGCGAATCCGCAATCGATCTCACGGTTTCTTCCGTCGCGGCCGCGGCGTGGGTCTCCGGCTGGGAGGTCCTTTCCGATTTCGAGTCCCTGAGCGACCACGCCTACCTGGCGTTCTCGTTCGGGGCTCCTCGGAGTTAGGGGGGGGAGGCTGCCTCTCGGTCCGGCGGTCCTCGCATCATCGTTCCGCCCCGGTGGAGCCTGAGGTCGATGGATGAAGAGCGGCTCGTCGAGTGTCTCGCCGTGTAGTCGTGGCGAAGGGCCAACGTTTCGGGGGTGAAAACGCTGACGAGATGGCGCGGGCGATCCGGGGCGATTTGCATTGAATATCGAATTCGTGCATGAGGGGGGTCGGTTCGCGATCGAACGAGCGCAAGCGGCCGAAATACTGGTGGACGGACGGGATAGGAGAGCTGTGGAAGGAGTCCTGTCTCGCCCATCGTCGGTTCGGAGAACGAAAACGCGAACTTTTCCGCCGCGGGGGAGATTACGAACAGATCGTGACCGATTCGACTTTGCTGGGACTTAAAGCAGAGTGGCGGGCTTCGCGGGTTCGCGTTCGCCGAGCAATATGGAGTTCGAAGGAGGAGAGTTGGAAGGAGCTCCTGGGCGAGGTCGACACGGATCCGTGGGGTTTTCCGTTCCGCATCGTGACTAAGAAGCTACGGAGTTCGTCGGGGCCGCTGACGGCTGGCATGACGAGGGAGTTCCTCGCCGAAGTCATTGCGGAGCTCTTACCGCGCGTCGCGTCCTACGCGTTTCCTCTGGCGGACTTCGCCTTCAACCGCGAACGCGATCGAGTCACCGAGGGGGAGATTCGCATCCTCCTCGACGCGGCCTTCAAGAAGCGCTCGGCTCCGGGCCCAAACGGCGTGCATTATCGGATCCTCAGCAGGTCTGTCGGGGTGATGTGTTCGCGTCTTTCGTCGCTCTTCACCGCGTGTTTCGAAGAGGCGTCGTTTCCGAAGCAGTGGAAGTTTGCGAACCTCGTGCTGCTGGAAAAACCGGGTAGGGACCCGTCGACGCTCGGCGCTTATCGGCCGATTTGCCTTCTCGAGGTGGAGGGTAAGTTGTTCGAGCGCGTCGTTGCGTCGCGGATAATCGGTCACATGGGGGCGGACGGGGGAGGAACGACCTTTCTCCGAATCAGTACGGCTTCCGGGCGGGCCGTTCGACGATCGACGCGCTCGTTCGAGTCCGTGACGTCATCAAAAAAACTCTGCGCCGGGGCGGAGTCGCGATCGCGGTTTCGACAGACGTGAAAAACGCGTTCAATTTCGTTCTTTGGTCGGCGATACGGGACGGACTGGTTTCGAAGTCCGTGCCCGATTATCTCGCGTCGTTGATAGGGTCCTTCCTCTTGGAGAGGAAGATTTCGTACGAAAAGCCGGACGGAACGACGGAAACGGCGAGCGTTTTCTGAGGCGTGCCCCAGAGGTGGTTCTCGGACCGCTCCTCTGAAATATCGCCTACGACTGCGTTCTCGCCCGGACCGTCCTTCCGGAAGGTTGCTCTCTGATATGCTACGCGTACGACATCCTGTTCCTCGCGACCGGTTGCGGGTGGCCGGAGGTCCGGGATCGTGCGGAAACGGGACTTTCCGCGACGGTGGAGATCATCCGAAGCTTCGGACTCCGGGTGTCTCTGCCGAAGACGGAAGCCTGCGGATTCCACCGTCCGAGGAATAGGCTTCCAAACGGCCGGCACTGTCGTCTGGGGGAGTAAGGATCGGGGTGGGGAGGACGCCCAAATACATGGGAGTGACTTTCGACTCGGGTCTCACTTTCGGGCAACACCTCGCGCTCCTCGGACCGAAGATCCGAGCCGCGAGCGCATCGTTAGGGCGCCTGATGCTGAACCTGCGGGGTCCGCGGGCGAGGGTCAGGCGATTGTACGCGACGGTCGTTCACTCCTTGGCTCTGTACGGAGCACCGGTGTGGACCGAATAGAAGGTGACATCGCGGCCGCTTCGCGAGAGGGCAATCCAGCTCCAAAAGGCGTCTCTGAACAAGGTAGCGACGGCGTACAGGGACGTCGCGTCGGAGGTGGTTTCCTTTCTGTCGGGAACTCCCCCCGCTCGATCTCGTGGCCGAGAGACTCGTCCTCTACCGCGAGCGGGGTCGCGGCGGGCCGAGGATCGCTCGTCATCGCAGAGAACTTCGCATTCGTACAGTTAACACCTGACAGGAGCGATTCAACGACGGGCGTAGGCGTTACGGGGGGAAATCATTAATGTTCTTGGCTCCCGAGTGGGGGGCTGGGTGGGGCGGGATCACGGAAACTTGACTTATCGTCTCACGCAGGTTAAAATAAAATAAAAAAATCTTATTATTCATCGTTCATATAAAAGGAAAATTTTTTTTTTGTAAAATTTATTAAACAAAACTTTTAAATTTTATTATTATTTACATTTTTTTTAAAATTAAGGTAGTGTGCAACGGTTGATATGCGTTTACGTCATGTCGACTTATTTAAATAATTTTAATAGTTTTATTTAATGATTTATTTATAAATTATATATCAAAAATTTTGTAATTAAGTCTAGTTTATTGTGATGTAATTAGTTTTTAATATTTTTTTGTAATAATTACATTATTTTAAGTTTAAATATACAAATAGTATGTAACTTTTGTAACAAAAATAAAAGTGATTTAATAAAAATATTTATTAATAATTAATTTAAAATTTTTGTACACCTGATTTTACCTATTAATCCACACCCCCATTTTCACTCGGAATTTGAAAAAAAAAATGAACCTCTTCATTCTTATGTTTTTCTAAGGTAAACAAAAACAAAACCGAAAAATGTAAACAAAAACAAAAACAAAACCGAAAAACGTAAACAAAAACAATAACAACACCAAAAAACGTAAACAAAAAAAAATCCAAAAAATTTAAAAAAAAAAAAAAAATCGAAAAAATCAAAAATTGTAAACAAAAACAAAAACAAAACCGAAAAATGTAAACAAAAACAATAACAACACCAAAAAACGTAAACAAAACAAAAATTAAATTTTTTTCCATCTTTTTTTTGAATTTTTTTTTTGGGGGGTAGTGAGGGGGTAAGTGCGCAACGATTTAAATAACAATAAATAATATACTTTAATAATTCATAATAATATACATTCGTAATTCTCACTTTCAGTATATCATAAATCCCAGCCGTCGGCCAACAAACCGGATGTCATCCTGAAGTACAATACGGAAAAGTGGTGTAAACTGATTGAAGTATCCGTGCCGTCGGAAGAACACACCAGACAGCCAAAGAAGCAGACAAAAAGCTGAAGTGCAGAAATTTAGAAATTAAAATAGCCAGGATGTGGGGAACAGGAAAACAGAAACTATTCCGGTCATCGTGGGAGCAGAACTGGGAGCCACGCCATTGTATTCCTAGAAGGTAGTATTCTTTATCTTACGTAAGAAAAAAAGAACGGATAAATTTTCTTTACGCATCGGTCAAACGTAAAATAATCGTATAAGTTAGGTGTAATTAAAAAAAAAAATTTTTTAAAAATTTAAAAAAAATTTCAATTTATTTATTTTTCAATGTGTATTTACAAATAAATATACAATAATAATAATAATAATAATAATAACAATAACAATAACAAATAAATTAAGTAATCGATCATAACATTAAAAATAAAAATCACTCTAAAAAACAACAAAAAAACAAAAACAGAAACAAACACAACAACCAATCACAAAAAAAAAATTATTTACATACATAAAAACAATAATAACAATAAAAACAACAACAACAACAACAACAGTATTTATAAATCGCGTAAACGTCACCAAACGGGCGGGTCACGTGATTGAGGTATAAGCGCGCGAACGCGAATGAAAAAATTTACGTCGTGGGATTTTCGTCGAATTGAAAATCCCCGTAACCGATATCGTAATCTTTTTTCGGGGGATCTTTACCGTATCCGTCACCCTGTATCGGAATACCGGAAACTCCCTTGTTATAAAGATTTTGATGTTTTTTTAAAAAATCATTTTCATCATCCGAAGCGATTTTTGTCTGAGAGTTTTGATACGGCACTGATAAACGGGTACTACTGCTGTATTTATGACTGTTATCGAGATAACTAAGACTTTGGCTTTTAACGTAGTAATTATTGTTGTTGTTGTTGTAAAAACTTTCGGTTCCTTCAAAGGGATTTTTTTTTACTAAACCGTTTGTCGGAAACGTTTGATAAGCGTAAGAAGATGTGATAGATGGCGGTGGATTATCGTTTGATTGTGACGATGCAGTACCGTATTGAGAATTAACAATAAAATTTTTATAAGTGTTGTCTTGTGGTGGTGAATAATAATTAGTTTGTTGAGTGGACGATGATTGTATTTGTTGCGAGTTTAAATAGTTTTGGGGTTGTTGTTGTTGTTGGTTGTAACCGAATTGATTAGTTTGAGTTTGGTAATTGTATTGATTTTGAGGGTAGTTGTTGTATTGTGGATTTTGTGATAGGAAGGGATAGGAATTGGGTGGAGGATTGTTGATTGGAGGGTATTGATTTTGATACTGTGGTAGTTGGTACCTGTTTATGGTGTTGTAGGAGGAGGGTATTGGAGGTTGAGCTGTCGAACCTACCACTTGAGACCACGGTGGTGAATACGATGGGGAGAATGGAGAGTTGTTGTCTTGTGAATTTTGTTTAAAATTTCCAGCGTGCGATTCCGGAGTCGATGACAGAGGGTTGTTCAAGTGCTGTTGTTGTTGTTGTTGTTGTGTTTTCGCTCTGTAATTTTTTTGATTTTCTTCGTTTGTTTCGTAGGACGATGATTTTTTACTTTGTTTTTTCGAACTTCTTTCCGTTGGATCGTAATCGTCGACGTAGGATGCCTGATGATACCCGTCATTTCCGTCTTCTCCGATTTGTTCCGATTGATAATCTTCATCTTTATTCTTCTTTCTTAAATTTGTTTTTTTTTTAGGTCTTTTTCTTTTATTTTTTATTATTACTTGTTGCGAACCTTCCGCTTCGTCATCGTTGTAATCTTCATCGTTGTTGTTGTTGCTCGTTTGTTGGGTAAACGATCCATACGACGCGGGACCGGTATCTTTTATTTTCTTACGAAAATATCCCGGTTTTTTATCACCGAACTGATAAGAAGATGGAGACCCCCCTTTGTATTCCGGTCTTTTGTATATTTCCGGAACATTCTTTCTTCTTTTTTTAGATTTCGAATCCGCCGCCTCGAATTCATGTTTGTTGTCAACTTTGTTTGCTTCTTCCGGAAAATAATAATCGTCGTCGAATTCGTTCAGAGCTCTCGGAGGTTTCGGCCTTTGCAACAACTGATTTCCTCTCAGCGGTCTTTTCTTAACGTTTTTATATATCGGATCTCGCACGAACGGATATGGATCTTTTCGATACGGCGATTGAACTCCTCTTTTACCCTGATCAATTCTCAAATTGTATTTTCCATTGTGTCCCCTATTAGGAGGCCCCCACGTTCTGTAACCGTTGGCATAATTTTTCGAACCGTTTCTTCCATCTCTTTTACCGAAATATTTCTTATTCGGTCTATTATGATAATATTCTCGAGGATGTTGATTATTAACCGGAAACGGTTTATTACCGTAACTGTATTTTCTCGCATAATTTCCACCGGAAAATCCATTCGTCAAATGAATTCTAACCGAGGGTGAAACTTTTCTTTTAACGATTCGTATGGATCTCTCTCTGAAACAAAATGAATTTTTTCAATTAATGAATGATAACAAAAACGGATAAAATAACGTAAAAAAAAAAAAAGAAACTCACGCGTTTGTCGAATCAAACGTTGTCGTCAAATAGTAAAATGTAAAAATGATAATTAAAAAAACCTGAAACAAACAACAAACAATTAAACAAACAAACAAAAAAAAACGTTATATTTAATTTATTTAATAGATTAAATAAACGAAAAAATTTTTATTGTTTGGGTTTTTTCATTTATTTGGCCAAAAAAAAAATCATGTCTTTAGTTTTTCCATGAATAACTTTCTCCAAACATAATTAAAATGCATTTTTTATTATTATTATTATTATGTTTTTTTATTACCGTATTTATTACTTTTTATTACTTTTTTTTTTTAATAAAAATGTGGGCCGTAAATCGGAATCAAATGATTCACAAACGACCTCGATTTATTAAAAAAAAAAAAAATTTCATTTATTTAATTTTTTTTTATTAAATTCTTCCACACGAAAAAAAAATTATATAAAGAGAAAGGGGAGAGAGGAGGGGCGGGTACGAACGTGTACGTAGACATCGGGATCGTGGCAATAACGTAAATTTATTTCTACTCACCTTTTCGAAATCTATTTTCACGTTCATATTTTTTTTTTTTTTTTTTTGATTTCCGATCGCCTCGTGTATAAAAAAAAATTTTCTTCTTTTTTAGTATTAATTATTTATTAACGTCATCAACACGATACGTCATCAATACAATACGTCATCAGCACGATACGTCATCACCTGGAAAAAAAATAAATAATTAATGGATTGATTAGTTCTACTCCCGTTGAATTTTTTAAGGGTATAAATTATGATTAATCATCATACTTACTAAATAAAAAATCCTAGTTACGGTACTGGGTATTCATCATCAGTTTTTTCACGACGATTTTTCACGGATACCTCATGACTTTGTGAAAAGTGAATGAATGAATGAACCTGAATGAACCTGAATAAAAGAAAAAAAAGGTATTATTATATCATAATTGTAAACGATTTTAATAATTGATTAATTTTTTTTTTTTCAGGTTCGTTGGAAAATCTAATAATAATGATAATAATGAACGGTTAGACAGTTGAAGAAGTTGACAAAAAGTTGATGGATTCGACGATGGAAAAGGAGAACCAGGATGATGTGGGGAGGGAAGCGTGAGGACAGAAAGGATTTCGGTCATCGTGGGAGCAACGAGAGGGACCCACGTGCCACACACGTTCAATAAAAGGAAATTAGGGAGAAGAAACCGTACAGGAAGGAGAACGGGAGAAATGGGAAAAACTTTTCTAGGATTCAAAAGTGAAAACAGTGATGATAATAATAATGATAATAATAATTTTTCCCCCAAACGAAATTTCCCTTGGGAAATTTATTACGTCACGTAATAATTTAATTTTAAGTGACGTTTATAAATATTCATACGAATACGTTTTAAAAAAATTTCTCACGGTTTTTCTTATGACACGATGCATTGATAAGAATGATAACGTTCGTTACCGATTAAATATAAACGAAAATGAAAACGTCACGAATTTTCGATAATTAAAACGTAGCTCTTGAGTTTTAATTTTATAGTAATACGAAATAAAATAGAAAGTAAACCCCCCCCCACAAAAAAAATGGCTATAATAATGATGATGATGATGACGATGACGATTTTTTATTTTCGCGTGTTATTTATATTAAAAAAAAAAAAAATGAAAATGATGAAAGTAGAATTTTTTTTTTTTCGTGATTTGAGAAAAAAATTTTAACTTATTAAAATTGATCGTGTCAATAACAATCGTAATAACGTGGAATTCGGTGAAATTGTCACGATTAAAAATTACCGTGTAACTAGACAGAAAAAAAAACTGATATTCGCGTCCGAAAAAAAAAAACCTAACCGAACTTAATTTTTTTTCCCCATCCCCCTTTCCCCTTCTTCCCCTTCCCTCTCCCCTCTCTCTCTCTCTCTCTCTTTAAAATAACAAGGAAACGAAATTTTCCAGGATTTCAAAAAAAAAAACCGGAAGTAAAAAATGAAACCAACAAATTTCGCGAAAGTGGAATAAAAAACAAAGTCGAACGGGTAGAGAGAGAGAGAGAGAGAGAGAGAGAGAATAATGATTATGACACGTGGAAGAAAAAGAACAAAAACAATTATGCGATTTCAAACGACACACGCACACGCAAGAAACAAACGTATTTTGTTCTCTCTCTCTCTCTCTCTCTTTTTTATTAAAGGTCAATAATATTTAAAATAAAAACGTGTACAAACGAACAAACGAATGTAATTTTGTTATGATTTATATTAAGAGAAAGTAGGCAGGTACGCAGGTAGTAGAGCGAGAGAGTCCGTCAAATACATCATCATCATCATCATCATCTGAATAATATATTTAAAAAACCGTGTGAAATGAAATACTTTTTTAAATATTTTTTTTTAACCGCCATTTGTCGGCGTATCCGTCCGCCATGTTTTTTTCTCACCCCCCCAATAAACAAAAAAAAGTCAAAGTTTGTTTTCCGGGGAAAAAAACTTATTATTATTATTATTATTATTATTATTATTATTATTATTATTATTATTATTATTATTATTATTATTATTATTATTATCATTATGTACAAGAAAAAAAAACGTGGCACCAGATTGCAAACGTTTTTTTTTTCTTTTTTTTTTAAACTGTTGTAATTTTATCCAATAGCTTTTTTTTTCATATTCGTTCATAGATTATTTTTTTAAATCAAAAAAAGCGCGGGAAATGAGTATTATTATTATCATGTCGTCACACAACATTTTGTAATTATTATCACGTGATTTTTATTAATTTTATAGCGCTTTAAAATAAATATAGTAACTGAAATGTATGTGTCAAAACGAAGGAAACAAAAAAACTTAAAAAACTCTGGAACGGAGGTTTAACGCATTTGACACGTGGTTTAACACGTGGAGAAAATAAAAATATAGTTTTCCGAAATTTTTTATAGTCTATAACGAATTACTATAACGAAAAAAGTGAATATTATTTATCAGATGTTATCAATTACAAAAAAAATTAATTTTTCAAAATAAAATTTTGTAACTTTCGAATCGACTATATATAGTAGTTATAGTTATGTACTATATATAGTATTTATAGTTTGTGCTATAAACATGAGAGGCGAACGCTCCTCGTTTTTCAAACATTATTTATTTATTAATTAATTAAACGTTTTTCGAAAATAATTAATAAAAATTTCTCTCTCTCTTTTTATAGACTATAAATTTATCCGTATTATATATATTTATAGTTTGTCTCTATGCTGATCTATAATTTTTATTCTACGCTATATAATCAATTTTTTTTTGTTTTAACGGTTCGTGAATTTGAAAACGACGTCAATATAATTACTGGACCTTAAATAAATAATTAATTAATTAAACTATAATTTTATTTATTGTTTAAAGAAAAAAAAAATAGTTATAGCAATAGACTATAAGAGACAAACTATAAAATTGAGTTGCGCTATATATATATTAAACATACATCGAATTTGTTCGAAAAAAAACACAAAGTTTGAAATAATTTCATTGTCAGGAGGTTGTTTACCTTTAAAAAAAAAACTTCTATAAATTTATAGCGTTGAATAAATTAATAATTTATAGTCTATAAAATTAATTATACATAATCGATAGTTTTTTTAAATGAATTTTTTTTTATTATTATGGCGATTAGTTTTTTTTTTTATCTTAAGGTGAAATTTTAATCTCTTTGTACGACTATAAATGCGACCATTTATAGCGCGTAATTATTAAAGCGATAAATTTATAGCAAGGAGAGAAATTTATTTTTTAACGCGAAACAAATTTTTTTCTTTTTTTTTTTAATCGTTTAAATATCGAGAACGAATGAAAGTTTTTTCTTTTTTTTTTTAATTTACGACATTTAAAATAAAACGTCAACGATAGTAATAATAATATAAAATACAAGCTATAAAAATCTTATAGCAATTATAGCGATGTAAATATATATATATATATATATATATATATGTATATATATATATTTATAGCACGAATAATTAATTGAAAAATTTCATTATCATTTTCCACTTATTTTCATCGTCATCCTGAATTTAACATTTTTAAATCGTTTTGTTCCGAATTAAAAGAAAAAAAATTGTTTTGCTATATTTTATTATTGTATAGACTATATTTTTATAGTCTATAAGTTTTGAATGCGTTATTAAAAAAAAAATTATTAATTAATTGTAACATTCTTTTTCTTTTTTTTTTGTTTGTGACGAAGTTAAAAAATATGTATTTTGAAAAACAAAAAAAATTTTTTTTTCTGCTGTATTAAATTGCTATATTTTATAGTTATAGCGTTCTATAATTTTTTATTTAAAGAAAAAAAAATTTTTTTTGTTCTTAAACGTTGACACTTTCGTTTAAAATTATAAATTTTCACTTATAAATATTTTTTTTTTAACTAGAATAGTACTATAAAAAAAATTTTGTTGTACTTACGAGAAAGGTACCAAGTAAAAATATTAATGATGATGATGATGATGGTGATAATGATGATAATCCAATGTTATCAAACTGTAAAAAAAAATTCAAGTTTAAAAAAAAAAACAAACCGTCGAGTACGAAGTTGGCACTATAATGATGTTTAAAATCATACTCACCAACAAGCGGATGAATTTCGGAGGATGGATGGATGGGCGGATAGTTGGTTAACGACCATTTTGTAAAAGTGGTGGGGAAAATAATAATAATAATAATAATTTTGTTTTCGTTTTCATTGCAATATATATATATATATATATATATATATATATATATATATATATATATATATATATATATATATATATATATATATATATATATATGAAATTCACATTTTTTTCTTTCTCTCTTTCTTTTTCTTTTTCTTTTGCTCTCTTTCAAGGCCGGTTAGAGTTGGTTGATTTCATTACTGAGGTCAATAATAGAAATTTTTTTTATTATTATCATTATCATCATCATTATTATTATTATTATTATAAATATTGTTTTTTAGCGTATGGGAGAAGAGTGAAATTTTTTTTTTTTTATATTTCCAGAGAATTTCGAGTGTTTGATTTGATCAAAAGTTGGTTTACATTTTTCACAGAGTTATGATTATGGTTATTATTATTATTTATTATTATTTATTATTATTATTATTATTATTATTATTATTATTATTATTATTATTATTATTATTATTATTATTATTATTTTTAAACTTATTGTGATCGTGCAGAAAAAAAATTGATTTGAACGCCCTTTTTTCTTGTATGTAATTTTATCGTTTTAAGTTTTATTGTAAATTTATCCTCTCTCTCCCCAATGAAAAAATGTAAACTTTTTTTTTTTTTTTTTTCAATTTATTTATTTATTTTAATTTTATTGCATAAAATTACATGTTGAATAATTATGGGGAAAAAAAACCCAAAAAAAAATTTAATTTTAATAAAAATATAATTTATTATTATAAATTAAAATTTATTTATTTTTTTTTCATCCATAATGTACATCCTTATACACAGTATACAAATTTCAATTTTTTTTACCTAAAAAACATCGAAAATTTTGGCCAAATGTATCAGAAAAACATAATACCCAAGGAGGTATAGAAAAAAATAAAATTCAAACAATGGATTCCCGCTTAAAATAAAATGTGTGTCAGGTAAAATATACAAGGTCGACCTTGAATGCAAAAACGTGACCATGAAAATTTTCACAAAATAAAATTTTAAAACTGGTGGCCTTGTATTCAAGGTCGACCTTGGTTGAAAAATCGTGACCATGAAAATTTTCACAAAATCGAAATGTAAAACCAATGGCCTTGGATTCAAGGTCGACCTACTTTAGAATAAATCGTAAACGTTGGATTTTCGCGCTCAGGGTCATTTTTAACTTAATTTTTAATCGAAAATTTTTTTCCGATGTATCCGTAAAACATAATATCCAAGGAGGTATAAAGTAAAATAAAATGCAAAATTTGCAATATAATGCAAAATATCGCAAAATTTGTTTTTTTATGTGTCAGGCAAATAAAAAAAAAATGGATGTGTACTGAGTACACTTAAAATCAGGTATGGAGATTTGGATGGGTGCATGGAGATTTTATAATTACTCGATACAATAAATAAATTAATTACAAGTATTTTTAATATTTTTTTTGGCAAAATATATTATAATGTAACAGGTTAACAAAAGAAAATGGAGGAGTTAAATAATATACAATCAATAGATTCACATTTAAAAGAGGAGTACAAAGATTTTTTATCCACAAAATACTATAAGTAAATTAGTTCCAAGTATTTTTATTGAATTAACTCTATTCCTTCCTCAGTATGACAAGATATTTAGCTCAACTTCTACTTATAATCAGCTCAGGAGATGTAACAATTATTAAATGGAGTCTGTTGTTCCTTTTCTTAATTCCCATCGCTAAAATCAATTATTATTATTATAGGTTACCAATTCCTCCTGACTTGATTCAGATTAAGACCTAAAACAATCAATGCAACTTTTTCTGTTCCCATTTGCCTTTTAATTTCTTCTGAGATTGGGCTTTGCTATCATAAGTTGCAAGTTGCCCTTCTTCCATTATCTCATTTTCTTTATTTTCTTGGACGATTTGTTTTGCCCTTTTCAGAACTCCTTTTTTTGTAATTTTTTCTTCCGTATGTATAATTGGGGCTAAGATAGGGTCCTCTTGATGGGATTCTATGTATTTTCTCATTCCAATTATGGCATTCTGGTATGCCGCTTCTATTTGTCGTAATCCTCTTCCTCCTCCATCTTTCCTGCTGACGCATAATCTATCCACATCAGCTTTTGGATGTAACGCACCATTCATAGTTAATATTTTCCTTGTTCTTCGGTTCAGGTGCGTGATTTCTTCTTTTGTCCAGTCGACGAGGCCAAAACTGCATTCTATTACTGAAACTGCTAATGTGCCGATGGCGTTTAACTTATTTCTTCCATTCAGTTCCGACTGTAATATAAGCCTCAATCTTTTAAAATATTCTTTCTTCAATCGTCTTCTATATTTTCCTTTTGTTTTAACTTTCCTCTGACAATATTAACTCTGGCACATTTTTCCAAACCAAATTTCATGTTGATGTCAGAGGAAAAAGTTTGAACCGTCCTTAGCATTTTATTTAACTCCTCTTCATTTTTTGCATAAATTTTTAAGTCATCCATATACAGCATATGGGTGATTTTCCTACCTCCCGGTACCAACTCATATCCTTGATCCTTGATATTAAGCTGTCTGGACAAAGGGATTAGAGACATACAGAATAAAAGTGGCGACAATGAATCCCCCTGAAAAATTCTTCTTCTTATAAATATTTTCCTAGAAGAGTATTTTTGCACTTCCAGCTGGGTGCACCAATTTTTCATACTTTTCTCGCAAAATGCTGTAATTTTAGGGTCTACTTTATTTATTATTATTATTATTATTTTCACTCATAATCAAATTTTCAATATTTATTCCAAGTTTTTACCTGAGTCCCGAATATCAACGATGCTGCTGTTTGATGGATAAGTTTCGTCTTTTTATAACATATGACATCACAACAATTCTTTAAAAAAATTTTCCTGAGACCATTTTATTCGATGGAAACGAACTCCTGGGCTCCAGTGATGACTGACATCTGTGGAGAGGCGGCCAGAAACAGGAGACGTGAAATTCACAACCTTGTCAAGAGCTTTTGGGTTCTATCTTTATCTTGTTATCATTTTGCTCTATTACAATTACAAATCAGTCATCATTATCTTTAGGTGTAAATTTTTTAAGTATACCTAGTAAAAGAATATGCTTTTTCCTCAGAACTATTTCAATACTTACTTTTCCTACTATTTCCCCATTTCATAATTTCCTCGCTTAAAATAAATGTAAACAGTGGATTCCCGATTGAAAAGGTCATTTCACTAAAAATTTTTCACTAAAAATATCGAAAAATTTGCTCTGATGTATCAGAAAAACATAAGATCCAAGGAGGTGTAAAGTAATATAAAATGTGCACAATGGTTTTCTGCTCATAATAAATTGCAACATTGGATTCCTCCTTATAATTACTTGCAACATTGGATTCCCGCTCAAATAAAATGTAAACATTGGATTCCCGCTTTTTAAAATTCAAATACGCGATTCTCGCTCGAAATCAGGCGCGGAGATTTTATATACGAGAATTTTTAATACTTTTAATGGCAAAATGCGTCAAAAATGTTACAGGCAAACATAGGAAAATGGATGTGTACAGAGATTTTATATTCACCTGATACAGAAATTAATTAATTACAAGTATTTTTATTAAACTACATTCATTTTTATTTAGAAAAACGACAGGAGGTACTTACCTCTCAACTACTTATAATCAGGTCAAGATAAGTAAAATTAATAAATTGAGCCTGATCATGTGCTTTTTAATAATTCCTTACATAGACTAACAGGAAAGTAAACAAAATTTATTAACTTGTATTATAATTGGTATATTTAAAATCGAAATTAATTACTCAAATCATGTTTTTTTTTTTTTTTTTTAATATTTTTATTTTCTCCAGCGAATAAATTTATTATCATCATCATCATCATTTTTTTTTTTTGAATTAAAAATAGTTGGAAGAGGTTAAAGGTTAAAATGTTGATAATTTTTTTATTTCGGTCACAATTCTTTTTTTTGTGAGGAGAAATATTTATTCTATTAGAATAAATTTTTTTTTTTTTTTTGGTTTTTTGGGCGGGCAATATTTAAAAACGCGAAACTGGAGAATAAATTACTTATCAATTACTCGCGTGCAAAAAGACATATCCGGTTAATTTTTTTTTTTTTTACTTAAAAATTTTTCTCGAATGGATTTTGGAAAAAAAAAAGTTTTTCTCTTACCTCATAATTCCAGGCGAATTTATTCAAAAAAAAAAAAAAAAAAGGAAAAATTCCCGATTCCAAAAAAAATCTTCTCATTATTATTATTATTATTATAATCATTCATTTTCTAATTCCAGCGATGAATTTTTTTTTTTCTTTTTTTTAATTTCATTAAATACGTGATCGGATTTCCAAAAAAAAAAACTGGAAAAATAAAATTTTTACCTTTCCAAAAAAAAAAAAAAAAATTCAATGACGTGAAAACAAACTTTTCACGTTAAAAACTCGTATAAATAAATAAATTATTATTATTATTATAAACAAATTTTTAACTTATCGTTATGATAATAATAATAATAATAATATATGTAAAAAAAAAAAAAAAAAATGAAAATGAAAATACATACGTGAAATCATTTGACCGTTTCCAAAAAAAAACAAAAAAATTCCAGAAAAAAAAATTAAAATGCATGAATGATAATGATATTAATAATAATAATAAATAAAATGGCGGGAAATGAATTTTTTTTTTTCACAATAAAAAGACCGTTCGATAAATATGCGGGGGGTGCGTGCGTGCGTGCGTGCGGGGGGTACACGAGTTGAAATCAGGTAAGAAAAAGAATTTTAAAAAGAGTTAATTGAATAAAGTTTTTTTTTTTTTGTTTTGTTTAACTTATCAAGTCTAGTCACATTTAAAAAAAAAAAAAAAAAAAAAAAAGTGCGTAATCATGATGGCGCCACCTGTTATAACAACTTCATTTTTTTTTTTCATGAATTTTTTTTCGAATTTCCACCACCCGTAACGGTTTGAACACCACCGACGCCACCACCGTTATTATTATCCATTTGAAATGGCGGAGATGTCGGTGAGATTTGTACGGATGAATGCTGTTGAAATTGTTGTGCTTGTTTTTCTATCATTTCCTTATTGACCGGACAAAGACATGGCACTAATTGCACGTTGTGCTGTCGGGAAAACATTTCCTTTTTTTTTTCTCTAAACAAATTTCGACGAGAAGCGAAATCATTTTTTTGACTTACCTGAGCGTATGATCCGTAACCGCCGCCGCCGCCACCACCACCACCACCCCCTTCGTATGGTAGCTGTTGCTGTTGTTGTTGCTGACTCGAAACTTGATAAGTTAACGAATCGTATTTAGGTCCTCCTTGTATTTGAACGTTTTGTCCATTATCGTATTGTTGTGGATTTTGTTGAAATTGTTGTTGTTGCTGTTGCTGATGAAGTTGAGCTTGAGGTTGCTGCTGCTGCTGCTGCTGTTGTTGAACTTGTTGCTGTTGAACTTGTTGTTGATACTGTTGTTGTTGACCGTAATCTTTATAATTACTATATCCTGGATTACCTCCACTGTTTAAAGGATTCGGTATCCACTGTTGACCGTTGAATGTTGCCGTTGTGTGGGGTGCCCTGCGAACACAATCAGGTCTAACACAGTTTATTATTCATTTCACATTAATTAATTATCATCATCATCATCATTATTATTTTACATTTCACGAAAGGTTCAAAACGGTTCAAAAAAATAAAAAAAATTAATTACTCGTTTTTTAACAATAAAAAAAAGGAGAAAATGGCGCGTCATGCAATATATCATTATTATTTATCGCGACGTTAATAATTTTTATTAAAAGTAGGTACGCGCGCGTGCATTTAACATATAAATTAAATATGAAAGTAAAAAAAAAATGAAAAAGGTAAAAATACATACTGCTTTCTCATGGAAGTCGGTAGAAAAAATCCTTGTGTGAGTGGTGCACATAATAAAAATCCCAGACACAAAAAAAATTTGATACCCATTGACGAAAACATGTTAAGATGAGTAAAGAACTGGAGCAAATGACGCCGACGATCCTTTCGACCGACAGACAAACCAAAGAATAAGAAGGACCACCACATCATCATCATCATCATCATCCCTCTCCCCTCTGGGTATATATTTAGTACCTGTTCATCTCTAACAAGTTGACCCTTTCACGTTAAAATGTTTCATTTAAAACTTTCTGGTTTTTTCTTACTTGATTTATGTTTCATCTTGTTCTCAATTACTTTTTCAGGTACTTAGGATAAAAGGTTACAAAAAAAATTTTTTGTGCGCGGCAGTAAAAAAAAATTCAATTTCATAATAATAATAATAATAATAATAATAATTAGGTAAATCATTGGATTTTTTAAATAAAAAACACAATCATCGTATTGACCTTAGCAAAAAAAAAAAAAAAATGAGTGCGAGGGAAAGTTTTATGTATGGAATTAATTAAATAAAATTTAAATTTGCTTGCTACAAGTAAAAAAAAAAAAGCAGAACACGCGAGAAAGAAAAAGCAGAAGACGCGAGAAAAAAAAAGCAGAAGACGCGAGAAAAAAAAGCAGAAGACGCTATAAAAAAAAAAAAAAAAATTTTATGCGTACGAATTCGATTGTTGTAATTTACTTATTCTCACGATTTTTTCTTTTTTTTTTCTTTTTTTCCCGCACTACTAATAATTCGACCGTGAAATAAAATTTTCTTCTGCTTCTTCTTATTATTATTATTATCATTATTATTACTATTATTATTATTAATCATAGGGAGCAAATAAAAACAAAACAAAAATAAAATAAAAGTGTACATTTTTTTTTTCTCTCTCTCTCTTTCTCTCTTTTTACCTTCACTAGATGATCCCTTTTAGTTTTTAATTTTTTTTGGGGAGGTTTGGGGGAAGGTGGAAGGGGTAGGGGTTAGGAGGTTTCCGTTTACGTGAAACAAAACGTAAAGAAAAACCGGAAATCGAAAAAAAAAAAACATCCGTCGTTTTCGTCGCGTTCGAGTTTTCGAAAAAAAAATTTTATCACACGAAGTAGTAGTACCAACATTGGGGTAAAAAAAAAAATTCTATAAATTTTCAAGGTCGAGTAATAATTACCACGGTAATAAGGGTGGTTGTGATAATAATAATAATAATAATAATATTAAAAAAACCCGTAGCCATTAAAGGAAGAAGAATTTAAAAAAAAAAAATGAAAAAAATCATCACAACGCGATAATACGCGATTGTAATTTTTTTTTTTAAAGTAGGTACGGATACGACGAAGAAAGAGAAAGGATGATGATGATGATGATGATAATGATAATAATTACGAGTGTGGTCGTGATGACGATGATGATGATGATGATGAAAGCTTTGATTTCAATTTTTTTTTTTTTATTTTGAAGTTGAAAGAAAGGAAAAAAAAATAAAATTTTCAATCGAATTTCTAGTTCCACGCACTTTTCACGCACATTCACGCACATTCACACGCACACAAACACTTGAAAACAATCACCGAAACTCGAATTTTTTTTTTTCGGTTATTCAAACGTGAGAAATTTGCATTATTATTATTATTTTTTTATAATAAAATTAAATTTTTCGAGAGGAAAAAGGAGAACAAGAAGATCATAGGAGGTCACGAGGTGATGGGGTTGGGAAGGAGGAGGAGGAGGAAGGGGAGGGAACAAAGGAAAAATTTAAAATGGAAGAATGGGAGTGGGAGAAGTGGTAGTAGCAACAACAACAGGTAGTTTGCGTTGAAATAAACGTACGATTCGAAATCGGAATATTATTATTATTATTGAATATTTTTTACACGGTTAAAGAGTTCAAAGGTCATTTGATAAAAATAAAATTTAATATTAAAGATCAATATTAAGGGGGGGAGGGGGAAAAAAAAAGTTTTATGTTACTAAGTCTCGAGAGATTTAAACGTGAGAAACAACTTTTTTCTTTTCTTTTTTTTTTTTTTTTTTAAATTTTTGTTTGTCGTTGTCGTTGTTGTTGTTTGTCTTTTTCGAATCATCGAATTCAGGTTTTTTTTTGTGAATGAAATTTTTTTTAAAGAAAAAAATGACATTTTTGTATTTTTTTTTAAAGGCCGTAATAAATTTTTTCATCGTTGAATGAACAAAAAGACGAAGTTGAAATGAATATTTATAATAACTCGTTCTTGTTTTTTTTTTTTTTTTGGTTGGTATTATTATTATTATTATTATTATTATCTGGCTAGAATTTTTTTTTTTTTTTATCTACCTGTCGTCGTATACACCTGTTGTTGTTTTTTTTTTTTTTCCCATTTTTTTCCTCTTTTTTATAACGCAAACGGATTAAAAAAAAAAAAAAAAGAATTTTTTTCTTTTATTCAAAGATTTTTTAAATTTGTAAGGTTTAAGGTTTCGGTTGGATTAAAAAAAAAAAAAATTTTTTTTGATCGGGAAAAGGAGGAGGAGAAAGAGGAGAAGAAGAAGGAGGGAAGGGGAGGGGCAAAAAGCTAAGGGCGAAAAGTTTTACGTCGTGAGAAAAAAAAAAAAATTTTTTTTCTTTTATTAAAAGAATTTTTAAAATTTTAAGGTTTAAGGTTTCCGTTGGATTAAAAAAAAAAATTTTTTTTTGATTCGGAAAAGGAGAAGGAGGAGAAGGGGGAGGGAGGGGAAAAAAATTGTTTTTTTGTTGGTTAAAATAATTGAAAACGGTTAAATGATCGATTAAAAAAAAAAAAAAAATTTTTACCAATTATGGTTACTATTTTATTCGAGTCGTTAAATTTTTTTTTTTTTTACGTCCGGTTGGTTTTTTTATTTTTTTACTAAAATAATTACTCGTACTTGTACTTTTTCTAAAGCCACGATAGTTCGTGCAATTTTCTCTTAATGGTTTTTTTTTTTTTTTTAATCCATATATTTTTTTTTTTTTTTTAATAAGGGAAAAGTTAAGTTAAATCGTCGACGAAAAAAAAACAAACTTTTAAAATAAAATTTTTTGCTGGCAACAAGACGAATGTAATTAAGTTGGCATCATTTTTTTGAATCGAGTCGTTTGCAAACGTTCGAAAATTAATTTATTTTTGTTAATGAAAAATTTTCTTTTGTTTTTTTTTCCATCAAAATTAAAATTTCAAAAAAAGTTTCTCTCTCTCTCTCTTTCTTACTGTCTTTCTATTCATCTCTCTCTCTCTCTCTCTCTCTATCTTTCTAATTGTCTTTCTGCTTACCTTTCTTTGTCTCTCTGTCTCTCACTTTCTATTCGTTTCTCGTATTGTTTCTCTGCCTGTATCTCTCTCTTTTTCTCTGTCTATTTCTTTCTTTCTCTCTTTTCCCCTCCGGATGAGACGAAATAAAATCAAAATCGTTTTTTCTCCATTTCCTAATTAAAAAAAAAAACAATTCAAGTGAATTTTTACAATCCTCAATAAAATTAAATAAAAACAAAAATTCTAACAACCGTGACGACCGGCCGCCATTTTAATTTTTAATTCGATTCCTTCTAAGGAAACAAGACGAAAATATTTTTTTTTTTTGAAATTAAATATAAATAAATAAATAAATAATTACACGTTTGATTTAACGAATTTTTTTTTATCTATTTCCGGATAATTAACTTGCTAATTAACACATAATAAATTAAACTAAAAGAAAAAAAAAATTCAAAATGGCCGTATTGCGCGTGAATTTATTAATAAGAGTTTCAAAACTTATTTAGAAACAATTTCTATATGAAATGACGCGGAAAAGGAAAAAAATTTCTTATTATTTATTTCCTGTTTGTACAAAAAAAAAACAAGAGCAATAATAATAATAATAGTAATTATTATAATTATTTATATATATAATTTATTATTACCAAAAATAAACTTAATTGATTTTTTCCTCATCGTCGTTTAATAATAATAATAATTTTAGTTTTTTAATCACATGAGGAAGCCATTTTATTTTTTTTTACAACGATTCTAATTATAAATAGAAATTAATTTGATAAAGTAAATAACGAAAGATTAAATAAAATTGTTTTAATAATTATAAGAAGAAGAACGCATGCAATTCGGGTCAAAACCGGATATGGTTTGTTTGTTGGTAAAAAATGATTTGCTAACCTCTTTGATTTAGTTTTCCTTCGATGGATGATGGACTAGTCGAAGAATGGTTCCACCAATCTTCCAACCCTCGGTAGTGGTCCCATGCACCACGGTTCTTTGAAGAAATCCATCCTGACAAAATTGTTCCAGACAACAAACCGGATATCATCCTGAGAAGCGTAATCCGGAAAAATGGCGTAAACTAATTGAAGTATCCGGTGAGAACAAAAAAAAAAGCTGAAACAAAGAACTTTCTAGATGTTAATTTTATTAAAAAATGTGAGTAGAAGTTAAAACGGAAATGATTCCTGTCGTTATGGAAGCGGCGGAAGTTACACACACACAGACGGAAAATGATTTCGTATTATTTCCATGGATCCCCAAATAAAAACCTGAAATTTTTAAAAATAATAATAATAATAATATTTAGAGTAGATAAAATTGTATCAATATTCGAATCATTTGTCTTAAAAAAAAAAGGAATTTTAAATAAATGATCCTTATCCGAAATCCGGACGTTTTACATAAATTTTTGTTTGTTTGTTCGTTTGTCTGTTTGTTTGTTTGTTAATGGATTCATTCTCCATAATAAACTAAAATGAATAAAAAAAATTTAATACATAAAATGAGACAAAAAAAAAGTAAAAAAATTTTTTTTGTTTTCTTTTTCTTTTTTAAAATTAAATTTTAATTGTTGGTTGTTTAAAATTTTTTTTTTTTTTTTGAACGTTGGCACGATTTTTAAATAATAATAATAATAATAATAATAATAAATTAAATTGAATTGTTTTTTTTTTTTTTTAAATAGCAATTTATTTTATTTTAACTACTTTCTAAAAACCAAATTGTAATAATTATTTTTGCAAAACGAGTTTGATCATTTTATTTATTTATTTATTTATTTGTTTGTTTGTTTGTTTGTTTATCGAATTCCAATCGTGATGGTTTACATATTTAAAGAATTTTTTTAAAAATAAGTAAAAGTTATTAAAAAAAAAAGAGAGAGAGAGAGAGACTGGTATCATAAGGAAAATAATAAAAAAAAAAGTTTTTTTTTAAATTTCTAAAATTTTCCAAAATTTTTTTTTCTCACTTTTCACGTGTTTCCCCCCCCCCCATTTGTACTTTTATTATTTTCTTCCTTCTTCCCCTTTCCTCCTCCCCTCTCCCTCCTCAACTAATCCCTTATCATTTATCCATTACCACCCAATTTTATTCTCGAATAAAAAATTTAATTTTTTTTTTTTCCGTAAATTGTGAGAAAAAAAATAAAATAGAAAAAGAGAGATATAGAGGGGAGGGGGAGAGAGAGAGAACGTATCACGATAAAAAGGGTTGAAATGAGAAAAGGGTTTTATAATAATTTAGAAATTGAGAGAATGAGAAACCGAAAAAACATGTTTTTTCGAAGGTTATCAGACCGAAAAAAAAGAAAAAAAATCTCTCGTACCTGTTTTTTTTTTTTTATTCAAGGGTGAGTAGGGTCATTCAACCCTAAAATTATATATGAAAACATTTCATCTTCATTTTTTTATTTTAATTCAATATTAAATAATAATAATAATAAAGGAAACGTAATGAATTATTATTATTATTCTTTATTCACGGATTATATGGTTTTATGTTACACTTTAGTTTTCTCTCTCTCTCTCTCTCTGTCTCATTTTTTTTTCTTCTTTCAATCATTTCAAATTGTATTAAATCAAAAAATGCATTAATTTAATCGAAATTAAAAAAAAAGTTTTTAACAACAACCGAGAGATACAACAATTTTTTGTTTGTAGGCCGATTGTTTGTTATTAATTTCAAACAAATTATATTCATTAATAAATAAAAGAAAAACAAAAAAAAATACACAAAATTTAAATCGATTTTTTAAATTCATTTCCGGTATTTTAAATAAATAAAAAAAGCGCTCGTGATAATAATAATAATAATAATAATAATAATAAAAATTTATTAATCCCAATTTCTTATACAGCCAAGAAATACAAAAAAAAATCAAAAAATTATTCATTGATTGATTGATTGAAATTTTTTTTTTTACAAGTCAACCGTTAAAAAAATAAAAGTTCAATGATATTAAATAATAATAATAATCGACTGCGTGAGGAAGATCATTATTATTATTATAAATAAAAAAAAATACTTCGTTTAGGCACAATTTAAATATTCCCATAATAACCAAAAAAAAACCGAATAAAAATTTTTATTTTATTTTAATTCCATCGAATACTTTCACAAATACTTATTTCATTTTTAATTATAATTAATTTATTCAAACGCACATATTTCATTAAGTATTTGATAAATAATAACAACAACAACAATAACAACAATAATAATCATAATAATAACAATATTAAGAAAAAAAGAAAAAAAATTAAAGTCATAAAAATGTAAGAATGAGTAAATATAAAAAAAAAAAAAAAACAAAAGAAAATAATAATAAAAAAAAAATAATAATAATAATAATAATAGGAAAAAAAAAGAATATCGAAAAATTGACTAGTTGTTTGTTGTAAATACCGTAATAACATGATGATAATTATGCAGTCATCACAACGAGTGTTTTCGGCTGTCTTATTGATTTATTTCAATTTTTTTTTTTTGCTTTTTTTTTTAATTACTAATGAAAGTGTGAACACCTAAAATAATTTAAGAAATATTAATTAATTATTTATATAATTAACATGAAATTTTTTAAGGAATAAAAATCATTTTACCTTTTTTTGGGCAGGTTCCAAGGCAAGTCACTTATTTTTCATCATATAATGTTTCGTCTAAGTTCATAATAATCTTATCAACAACATCAGTGCTTTTAGCTGTACCTTTTAAATCAGGCGTGCGTACTTTATCATTGTTAATTGTTTTCAAAATGGCTCTCCTTATTTTTTTGGCCGGTTTTGTATGTCCTAAATATTCCAACATGTCAATGCCAGCATTCAACATGGCTACTGGATTTGCAATATTTTTACCAGCTATCGCTGAACCAGCATTTCTCGTTCCAGGTTCGAAAACTGCATAGTGATCTCCAAAATTACCACCTGATATGAGTCCAGCACCTCCTACCAATCCGCAAACAACATTCGAAACGATTGTCCCATATAAATTTGTCATGTTCATGACATCAAATTGTTTAGGATTTGATACTAATTGCATGCAACAATTATCGATGATCATGTCATTGTGTTGAATATCTGGATATTCTTTGGCAATTCTTCTGGCAGTTTCCAAAAACAAACCATCTGATAATTTCATTATGTTGGCTTTATGAATTGTGGTAACTTTTTTTCTTCCTTCTTTTTTGGCATATTCAAAAGCAAATCTTGCGACTCTTTCTGAATTTTGAAGAGTAACAACTTTCATGCTTTCAACAACTCCTGGTACACTCTCATGTTCCAACATAGCATATTCACCTTCTGTATTTTGCCTAATAATAACAATGTCAAGGTTTTTATGCCTTGATGGAACTCCAGGAAATGATTTGCAATGAACTGTGCTCACAAAAAGATCTAACTCATTTCTTAAAGCAACATTTCTAGATGAAACTCCTGTTTCGATTGATCTAGTTTCAACATTTCCTTTTAGAGCGACACCGTTTCTGCGAATAGACATAATTGCATATTCTAATTCTTCATTTGAATTGCTATTTTGATCAATGAAAACTTCTTCAAAATCGACAGGAGCTCCAGCTGCTTTAAATATTTTTTTAACATATTCCATCAATTCGGGTCCGATACCACCACCAGGTAATAACGTAACTGTATGACGTCCTCCGTACAAAGCTTTTGGAAAAGCTTCAACTTTTTTAGCAAAAGGATTTCTATGTTGAACATCTGATGCAGTTTCAGCCATTGACATACATCTTACAGACGTTATAAAAGTCGACGGAACATTACACGAGAGTTTAAATTTACCCAAAATCTTTAAAGCCATTTTTTTTTATTTTAATAAATTTATAAATTCTAAAAATTAAAGTACATTACCTCTTGAAAACACTTATTTCAGTAAAATTTTTTCGAGGAAGAGCCAATTGTCGCCTGATTTAGGTACAGTAGCACTACTTTGCGACAACGTGGACTTAGAAAATTAGAGCCACGTTATCATTTTAACCGTTAAATTTAAACATATACACATTTTCAATCTTTTAAATTTTAAATTAATTATACGTAAAAAAAAACAATTTAAAAAATTTAAAACTTCATTTTTTATTGCTAAAACGAAGTTTTTTACAAATTACCATTTTCATTTAAAAATTATCATTTGAAATAATCATTCATAAAAATTAAATTAAAATTTTAAGTTAAAATTTTTACACAAATAAAATATTAATAAAAAAAAAATTTAATTGATAATAAATTCATATTTAAAAAGTTTTATTATTAATCGATATAATAATACATATTACAAATAAAATAATATACATTTTACACTTAGTAGTAAAGTTCATCACATAAAATTCTTTTTTTTTTATAAAAAAAAAAAATATTTAAAATATATATATATGTAAATATTATAGAGTAACCATTATTATTTAATTAGGCTTGTCATTTTATTATGTTTTTTTTTTTTTATAATTAATTAATTAACCATGAATGGTTTTATTTACTTAATGCTAAACATTTACAAGCACGAAAATGATTAATTTTTGAAAATAAAAACAAAATAATAACAAAAATTTTTTTGCATTTTTTTTTTTTTAAAGAAAAAACGCATTACAGCCAGCTGCAAAAATTATTTTTATTTTATATTAATCGATAATTCAATTTAAGGTGCCACGAAATAAATAAATAAATAAATAAAACAAACAAAAAAAATTTCAAATTTATAAATAAACCGTTTGTCATTTTGTTTCGATAATAATATAACAAATAATAATAATAATAAGTAAAAAAAAAAAAGAAAACTTGAAATTTAAACTTCAAGCGAAAGCATTTTTTATTTTTTTAAAATACAATAATACATTCGTAATAATAATAATATTATCGATTTAATTATATTAAAAAATAAACAATGAAAAATGTGATGATGGTGATGATGGCGGTTGTCAGCCATTTTTTTTTTTTTTGATTTTCTTTACGGTTTATTTATTTTCATGAAAAACCGTTAAATTATGCAATGTATAGATAGATACATATAAAAAAAAGAAAAGACGATAGAAAAAGAATAATTTATGTTTTTTTTTTAAGTACAAGGCACCATAAATACAGCTAAACAACATTAATACTCTTTTTGTCACCAGAAATGAATGATTAATGAAAATATTTTATTAAAACATTAATAAAAAATTTTATATAAATACTATATATATATATGTGTAGACATTTTCATTGAAGTATCATCAATTTCAATCGGTATTAAATAATAAAGAAGAAATGTTTTGTAACAAATTTTAAGTGTAAATGATATTAAACAGAATATAAATAACTTTCGACTTTTGTTTTCAATGGAGGTCTTGTGAATGGTGAAAACCAAGCGAGTGAAAATCTTCCAAAAACAGCTTGAATACTTTTCCATCTTGATTTTTTAACCCATCTTGCCTCTTCTTTTTTCAATTGTTCTATTCCCTAACAAACAAATGATATTATTAAAGGTTCGAAAGAGGAAATTAAAATTATTATTTGGAATTTGAATTCACTCACTGTTTCATCATTCCATATAGCTTGGAGTTGAGTACCGAACATGATTGCGGTGAAAATAGCAAAAAGTAAAGCTTCAAAAACGAGAAATAATATTAATACTACTGTTGCAGGTGGGGAAAATTTTGAACATTGTTTCCATTCTGCTTTAACACACATAATAACTTGATTCACTGATAAAAAAAGGGAATGTAAAGAGATCATTGCTATGTAAAACTGTAAGAAAAAAACACAAAAAATTTTAACCATGGGACCTTTATAACATCGAATTATATAAAATAAATAAAACAAAATAACTTACTGTAAATAAAACAAAATATTTTTGATTGTTTTCACCTACGCAATTATTTACCCACGGGCAATGATGATCCATTTTTCTAACACATCTATAAAAAAAATTTCAAGCATTCATATTTAATGTATTCTTTTTTAAATTTATTACTAAAAGCAAAAGTTAAAAAAAAAGTAAAACCTCTGACAAACAGAACAATGATGTGCTCTCTCTGGCTTGATGCTGCAACATTTTGGACATTTGAAAATAACTTGACCTTCTCTGAGTCCCATTTGCTGTATCATTTCTTTTGTAGCATTACCTTTCGGAACAGCACCCTGGCGAAAACAATAAATGTTTCATCATTAAAAAATTCTAAACCTTTTTACATTTAATGATTAAATTCAAATAGAATTGTTAAAGTGACCTGAATTGATAATACGAGAGAAATTCATTAAAAACTTGACTCGATTTTCGAAGGAATTACTAGAATATAAAATTTTGTCAAATTTTTTACTCACTGGATCAGTAAACATTGTCCTTAAATGAGATGCACAAGCCATGAATGCAAATATTTGAAATAAGACAGAATTAATCATGCTGTAAGCTGTAAAGGGACTGGGTAACAACATGACACCCATAACAACAAATTCGGCGTATAAAATAAGAAGCCATGTTAACATAGCACATATTATTCCGCAAATATCCTACAAAAAAATATGTACGGTTATTAATTTAAACGCCGTAAATTTTTTTTGGGGGATATCAAAAAAGTTTATTTTATATAAATAATGGGAAAATGGGAAAATTTCTATAGAAAAAAAATCTCTAATTGATATAAATTAATTTGATGAGTTCATTGCATATATATATACTTACTTTAATACACCAAAACAAACCACCACAGCAACGGTTATGAAGGTCTTTTTCCCTTCTATAAACAGAATAATCGTATTCCATTTTTATCAGTCTTTAATATAATTACTTTCTAAATTATTTTTAATAATAATTTTATAACATTTAAACCTGACATTTCGTTAGACATTTATCCCGGATTTGTTATTTTCCCATTAAATCATTTTTTAAATTCCGGTAATGTTGGTCATCCTTTGGGTCAGCTGATTCAATAATGATAATATATAAAAAAAATTTGAATGAAAAATCTTACGATTTACATTTCAAATATTCACAAATCTTTCATTAATAAATTTACATAATAATATTTTACTTAAAAAAAACATCAAAGTCGATAAATGTATTCTTTTTCTTTTTGGTTTCCTTTATTATTCCATAAAATCATGTAAAATTCTTAAACTGGGTTGTTACATTTCTAGAAGGCTGTGCGAATTTTACTGTGTGATGTGACAAATGTAATGTAATGTGACATGGCATATTAATATTAACAAACTTAGGTTAATGAAATAACAAATTTTTTTTTTTTTTTTTTTTAATGAAATATATTTAAAATATTTCTCTATAAATTATTTATGAATAAGTGTATTTAACAAATTTTTATAAAATGCAAACAACGGTTCGTATTTAATTTAATCACTTAATTTTTTTTACCCACCATATTTAAAAAAGTTATGTCGTTAGATTCTCTCACAATTAATAATTTTTTTACAATTTTTAAATGAAAATTGTTTATCCCAAACGTGAAACATTTTATTTTCACTCAAATATTATTTTTTCGATAATAAAAAATCATTATTTGTATATTAGGATCGTTTTTTATACATAATAATTATTCAATGCTGTTCTGTTGTTATTCAAGGTTTTTCCTTTTTTTGTTTTTCCAGACGAAAAAGGTTAAGGAAGGCACAAAGGGCCAAAAGCAAATAGTTACAGAAAATCAAGATACTTTAACTTTTTATAGAAATATGGTTTTTGGAGCTAGTGCCATTTATTTTCTCGGAATGATGATTTTCTCATCATTTAAAACAGTTGATATTGTATTGACTTTATTCTCTGTAGTTTCTTACACTGGAAGTTATCAATTTATGGTACACATGTCGAAAGCTAAATATTCAGATTCTGGACAATTAATCGACAGTGGTGTTGATCTTAATTTGCAAGGTGGTGTCGCAGAGTAAGTGATATATGAAATTACATGGCGACTTCCTTAAAATAAACAGTTATTTTTTACTCGAAACTGATAAAAATTATTCGCTTAAAGCCTGTCGCTTTTATTATTATTATTAATTGTCTTATTTCAGGCATGTCAAGGACTTAATCATTTTAACAGCAGGTTGTCAGGTTTTATCATTATATTCGAATTATTTTTGGTTATTATGGCTTCTCGTGAGTAATCATAAATTTCTTCCCATAGGGACACTAAATCCTTAAAATTTTCTCTCTTACTTTTACATTGATCAAAATTTTGGTATTTTCAGGCTCCTATGAGAGGATTTTGGATATTATGGAAAAATATTTTACAACCTTACTTCATGCAACAACCGCCCAATAATCCAGAAGTCGATGAAAAGAAACAAAAAAAATTAGAGAGAAAAATGAGAAGGCATATGATGCATTAAAAATAATAATAATAATAAAATAAAGAAACAAACAAACAAACAAGCAAAAAGTAACAGTAAGTTGTAAATATTGTTCATAAAGGGAAAGAAAAAAAAAAAAAAAAAAATAATAATAATAATGAAATTTAAATTTACATTCAGGTATATAAATACAATTTCCCCCTCCCCCCCTCTTTTTACAGTCAATTATCATTATTATTATTATTATTATTATTTGCTATTATTAAAAATCATAAAAAATTAACTGGAAGGATTTTGACGTGTTGGAGTCACTATGAAAACTGGAATTTTTGTTAATATTTCGACCTTTGAACTTATCGTTGTTGGGGATTCCGCCGTCGTTGTCGTTGGCGTCGCCACCGTCGCCACCGCCGCCGCCATTTCATCACCCTGGAAATTTTTATTTTCTTCTGATTTTTTTTCTTGATTTTTTGGATAAACTTTTTGCAGGGCGGTTATGAGGGATTCTTCGAGGGGTTGATTTTTAAACGAAGAATTCGTTTTCGGATAAAATAATTCGAACCTTCGTATTTTACTTTCGACGAATGATTTTGAATTTTCAATGACGTCACTCTTATTACGAACGATTATTTCGTTTTTCAGTTTATCCGCCACGTTCGAACTCGCGTTTTCAGGTTTGTACACTGGATAAACGTTCACCGTTATGTCATTCACTGGAATTATTTCCGCTTCGAAATTCGAAGACGACGTCGTCGTCGTCGTCGATGAAGAAGGTAGTAGCGAAGATGACGTAGTCATCGAAACCGGCGGCATGGGTGATGACGTAATCAACGATGGCGGTAGAGTCCGGTAAACTTGCTTATCCACTTCTTGCACTTGGTAGTCGTTTAAATTTGTATGACCGTCTTTTCTTATCGGTCGAGGCTTACCTGTCACGGGAATGTTTGATCCAACGTCTGATGATGACACTTGGCCGTTGACGGACTGTGGTGGTTGACGGTAATCGTTGACGTTTGGGTGACCCGTTTGAGGTAATCGAATCGAATTCACAGATGGTTGAGGTTGTTGCGGATGATTATTATTATTATTATTATTACGAACGTTTATTTCCGGTTGAGGTAATCGATTACCGTCGGCCTTGGCAGCTGGTTGAGGTGGGTGATTATTAAGGTTACGAACGTTCATTGCTCCTTGAAGTAAATGATTGTTTTGAACATTGTGTGCCGGTTGTGATTGCTGTCGGTTCCTCGTCGTCGGATGAAGACTGTTGATCTTGGAAGTACCTTGCAATGATTTTTTATCTTGTAAATTTAAAAAAACTGGACTCGTTGTCGGAAGAGGTTTAAATTTCAAATTGGTTCCATTGACGGCGCCGTTCAGCTCGCTGTAGTGATACTCTCCCACTAATTCGGCGGGCTGTATAAAATTCGGACCGTTTTGAGAATTTTGCCTGTTGTGCGATTTTAAATCCTTATTATTATTATTATTATTATTATTGTTCTGTCGGTGATTTCCGTTCACGGGTTCCAATTTACTCGGTCTGTTTTGTAATTGGTTGTTGTTAGGAATTCTATTTTGATTATTAAAAATCGGAGTCCACTGACGTAGTTGTCCCCCCGTCGGTGAAACGTTTTCTCTCACGGGCGTTTGACCGTTGAAAACTTGTCTCTGTCGATTGATGTTCGTGAACCGGTTTAAATTATTTAAAATATTATTATTCGGAAGCGGTAGAAATTTCGGCGGAACCAAAAACAATGGAGGAAGATTGGGTAAATTGTTGTTAAATCCTCTTCCGGTCTGAAACTGAAAAGAATTTTCACGGCGGGACCTCCATTTTTCCGAATCATCAGAACTTTTTGACAAATCAGTTATTGATTGAGTAGTACCTGGCGACGAATAATCCGCGGCTTTTTTAAACCGATTCGATCCGATTATTTTTGATATTTGTTCTAGTGTGAACGTGTCAACAGGAATATCGTGGCATTCGCTTTGACCGCATTGATGATTATTACGATGATGGTGATAATGATGATGATCCTTATTGAATGGCGTCGAATTCGGTGGTATCAACGGGGGCAATGCTGCGGGTTGAGACCCGGATTGAAAACCGTCCGATTCCGGAATGGGCGGGGGTTGTTGCGATTCGGGATACGGCATCGGATCCCAAAGTGGAATTTTTCCATCCGGTCCTAAATTCAAAGGCGACAGCGGCGTCGATTTCGATTCCCAATCTTCCGGCGGGGGTTTCGGTATGGGAACCCATTCCTTAATAAAAACGGGGCTCCAAACTTTACGCCAACTCGGTTTTAAAACTTTCGCCGATTTCCATTCTTTAACCCAACGTGGTTTCCATATTGTTTTCTTTTTCCAAATCCCCGGATCCCCGTGCGGCGAGAGCGTTGCATTTATGTGAACAACTCTGCGCATAAAAATAATCGTCAAAAAAAAATTTTTATTTTTTTTTTATTGTCTTCGAGTCGGCGTGCGTGCGTGGGTGCGTGAGTGCGTGAGTGCGTGCGCGAAAAATTATCCAAAAATAAAAATGAAATAATCGAACAGGACGCTTTCGAACGGAATATTTAATTAAAGAAAGTTATCAGACACACACACACACACACACACACATGGCAAAAAATCAAAACTTACTTTTCCACGACTGGATCCAATAATGAAGCCTTGACGAAGGTCATGGAAATTAGAATCAAATATACGGTCACCTGGAAAAGTAATAATAATAATAATAATAATAATAATAATAATAATAATAATAATAATAATAATAATAATAAATCGAAAAAAAAAACAAAAAAAAAAAATTATTATTAATTCTTTCTTTCCTCCCCCCCTCTTCTTTCGCCCTTACAAAATCATCACCCCTTTAAAAATTTTATCGTTATCACTGACGTCACGCGTTTACCCTATCACGGTTCTCCGCGTGACGTAATTACCGAAAAAAAAAATTATTCGTTTTTTTGAATCATATGTGTGAGCGTGTACACCTTGTCGTCCGCCATTTTAAAATCGTAAAGAACCTTATGAAAATGCTTACAGTAAAATAACACCAATTCCGGAACATAAAATTCCGTTACGAAAAATAAATTTGAAAAAAAAAATTTTAAGCACTTTCGCGCGCACACACACGCACACAAAAATAATAATAATAATGATAAAAACTTACGGATATTTGCATAGTGAATAACGCGTAAAAAAAAAACGGTGTGTTAAAAAAAATTCGATTTTACTTCTAAGACACGAATTTATAAAATCCATCCTTTTATATATAGAGCCTAACTTTTTTTTTTTTTTTTTTTTTTGGCTACAAAACTCTTCATGACAAACTACACACGTTGTAATAAATCATAATTCGATGCTCATATATATTCAATATTTGTTTTATTATTATTATTATTATTATTATTACTACCGCAATAGTTCCGGATAACGTTTCCGGTTTTTACAAACGGTTTTAAATTTCTTGTTTCTCTTTTATCCACAATTAAACTCTCTGGAAAGTTATTTTTTAAATGTATTTCGACGAATTTATTTTATTTTATTTTTATTAATTATTACACGACGATACGAGAATCAATATAAAATAATTTACATAAGGTTATTGAAAAAAAAAAAAAAAAAACTTTTTTTTCTATCCAATTAATTGGCCAAAACGAGATATTAGAAAATCTGGACAATTTCCAGACGTTTTATTAAAAAAAAAAAAAAAAAAAAAGAAAATTTTTTATTTACGTGCGTGAAAGTTTTTGTAATAAAAAAAAAAAAAAAATGTTATGTCGGGGAGGAAGAGAAAAAAATAGAAAGAGAGAGAGAGAGAGAGAGAAAGTATTTTTGTCATTTTAAGGAAACGCCAAACTTTTGATGATGATGATGATGATTTTTCTAATGTTATGAATACTAAAAACATTTTATTCCATTTTGTTCGATTATATGAAATCAAAAAACGTTACGTAAATCCCATCGAGAAACAAAAAAATAATCTAATTGTAACGACATTTTTATTATTATTAACAATACTCTAAACGAATTAAATATTTTTTTTATTTTTTTTCGGTTTGATATTTTGCCAATTCGAAAAATCACTTCATTATTATTTTGTGCAAAAAACCGTTAATTACCCTTGAGAGTTTTTGATTTGTATTTACCTCCCGTTTCGAACGACGTCTACTTCCACGACAAATTACAAACATGGCGTTGATAGGAAAATTTTTACATCGAATCGATGTGAAGATTTTGGATTGTTGTAGTGCCACCGGTGGAATATTGACCAAATATTATTATTGCAATGATTCCGCGAACGCGGTGGAAAATAAAGAAAACGGTATTATTCGAATCGTTAAACAATATTTTTAAAATTTAATTATCTAACCTAACGTGAACGCAAAATAAAATTTTTAGATTTTAGGGTTTTGGAAATAAGACCGCAGACTAAGAATGAAGTTTTTAAAAAAGGCGACACCGTTTTAAATTTGCCTACTCCGCGGTACGTACATACAAACAATTATTATCATTATTAGTAGAAAATTAAAAGTCTTGCATCTGAATTATTTTCAAACAATTTCAGTACGAAAAAAATGTCAACAGATCAAGATTGGAGTAACGTGTGGCCTGGACCGAAAACTTTCCATCCTGCTGCAGTACCTTTACCTCTAAGACAAGGATACAATAAAAAGGGAGCTCCTCCAGGGAAATTTGGCAATGCTGAACTAATGAAAATACCCAATTTTCTTCATTTGACTCCACCAGCGATAAAAAAACATTGCGAAGCATTAAAAAAATTCTGCACACAATGGCCGGAAGAATTGGAAACTGATGAAGATTTGGAAAAACATTTTCCCATTGAAATAATAACCTCTGATTATTGTCATTCGTCACCATTTATAGGTGATCCATTAGGAAGAATAGTATCATTAAGGGTATCATCAATTCCTTTTACTCGATTTCAATTTGTTTTATTCAATTTTAAGAATTAAATTTTATCTTCTCATTAATTTAGGTTAAATTAAAAAATTTAAATTTGGACAAACATGCCGAGGACAAATTATTGAGATTAGTCGAAGATAGATATGATCCTAAAACGGATTACATAACAATAACAACAGATTCCTGTCCGATAAAAAAACAAAATTATGAATATGCACAATATTTACTCACAGCCATCGTTTATGAATCATGGGTATGAGTTTTGTTTTTTTTTTTTTTTTTTTTAATATTCGAACTGAACAAGTTGGAGATTTACTAGTTTTCATTTGTAGAAAGAAGAACCTTGGGAAAAAGAAAAAACAGACCAAGATCAAGAAACATACGTTTTCGAAAAAAGAAAAGCTTATCAAAATGTCAAACAAGTTTTCGAGTATTGCGATCGAAAGTTACCGGATTTAACGGAATTTGGAAAAGCCGTTGAAGATTTACACAACGATGAAAACAATATCGACAACGTTAGAAAGTACAAAGAAGAATCATTGAAATTATTATCATTATCATCTAATTGAAACTTTCATTTGTTCTAACATACATATATTTAGTTATTATTATTACGTCATAGTTTTTGCTTTATTCATTCTGAACAAACCTAATCGACCGTTAAAAAAATATCGTGAAGAAAAATTTCCATATTTAATTAGCATTAATTCTACCGCAAATATCGATAATAATAATAATCATTATTAATCGACACGTCGGAGGAAAAAAAATTCACCCCCCCGGTCGGGGGAAAATTGATGATGATGATGATGATGATGGATTTAAATTTTTTTTTTTATGTCACGTACGGTTAATAATAAGGAAAAAGGCTAACGGAGGAAAAGGACGATTTCGAGTTTTAAAAGTTTTTGAAATTTAACATGAAAGTGCACTATTGTGAACGACCGCAAAATGTCGACGAAAAAGGTTGATCCTCATCAACCGAAAAGAAATTCAATTATTAAATCACAAAAGTTGATGACCATATTGGACTTATGAAAGTTTTGACTTTTTACCGCTACCATACATATATATATATATAAATCGAATATTTAAAATGTTTTCAAAAGGTTGGAAAAAAAGAGAGAGAGAGAGAGAAAGAGAGAGACAAACTTGGGGGATTTGAAAAAGGACAAACAACAAAATAAAATTTTACGTTTTTTGACTGACTCACCGAACGTCCATCCGTTCATCCATCCGTCCATCCGTTCGTCCGATCGTGTTGTTCCTTTTTTTCTCCTCTCGAAAAAATTCCCCCGTCCATTTTCATTGAAAAACATTTTATAGAATTGTCGAAATGTAAATTTTCCATCGAAAAAGGTGGTGGAAACGAAACAAACAAATAAAATCGTTTCGTGAATTTTCCCAAAAGGTTCACATTGTGCATTATTTAATCGGTTCCTTATGTTAAATTTTCGTGTTGTCCCGGAAATCCTTCAGGTTCATTCTTATCCGACTCATCATCATTATTCTCTCAGAGAAAAACTTGGAAAATTTCCACCTTTTTATCCTGAAAAAAAAAATTATTATTATTCGCTTTTCCAAAAAAAAAAAAATGATTTTTCATTTTTATTTTTTTACGATATAATTTTATACACACATCTGACTTCCGGTAGGAAAACTCACCCCTAATGTAAATTTTTCAATGAATTTTTACCCCGTCATTCGTGACTCAAATAACAAACATTACTATTACGTTTACAACTCTGGTTGTTGTTGTTGTCGTTACTACTGTTTGTTTGTTTTTTATTCAATTATAACCTTTCTCCCTTCATTTTATGACAATTAAGAAAAACATTTTTCTACTCTCTTTCTCTCTCTCTCTCTCTTTGTTTCCTTCTCCCTCTTCTTCCTTTAATTTTTTCTCCCTTTCTTTTTTTCTTTTTTTATAATTACAAAAAAAATTGTTGAAGGGGAGAAGAGGAGGAGGAGGAGGGGGTGCGTAGGAGAGGCGGCGGCGGTTGTATACTCAACAAAAACGAGTTTAAATCGATTTTAAAAATTTTTGCACCGAAATGAGTTGATGATAGCTTTAGGGTTTAAAATTTTCTAAAGCAAACAAATTGTTTGATTTAAACGAATTGAATTATTTTACCGCGAAAAATAAAGTCTTTTCCTATACATACATATATTTATTTTATGGTAAAATGATTCTTTAACTTAATTTTAATAAAATTTTTTATTTTAATTCGCGCCGTAGTCTGCCATTTTATATTAAATTCACAAAAATTTCAAAAACAATCGGTAGAAAACTCAAATCATTTCCTGCAAAAAAAAAAAAAAAAAAAAAAAGTAAAACAGAAACGAATCCCAAAAAAAAATTTCAATTTTTTCACAAGTAACAAAAGAAAAACAAATTAAAAATGAAATAAAATAAAAAAAAAAGGAAGAAAAGAGGAGGGAAAGAAAAACCGGAGAGTAAAAAAACAAAAAAATTGTCTCCCCGGACCGATTTTTATGAATGCAAAAGAAAAAGCGTGGATGTGAAAATGGGAAAAAAATTTTTTTTTTTTTTTTTTTTTTTTACTCATGGCAAAAGTTAATTGTAATTAATGAATGAAACATTCACTACAACGAAAATGAAAGGCAGATAAAATAAAATAAAATAAAAAAAAAAATCAAAAAGTTATTAACTTGATATTATGTAAGAGAAGCAAAACAACAACATTTTCTCTATATTTTCCTGTTTCGTTTATAACGCTAAGGGTTGTTGCAATTTTCACCCCTTTGAGTCTATATCTTCCCATGAGACACAAACACACCGTCGTAGTCGTCATCGTCATCGTCGTTGTCCCCCCTCCCCCCATAGAAAATTTCATGTACAATCCAAGTGTTCAATAGAAAATCGAAAAAAAAAAAAAAAAAACGATAATAATAATAAATAAATAAATATTATATAATTTCTTTCTCTCTCCCTCTCTATCTTTCTCTCTCTCTCTCTCTCTCTCTCTATCTATCTTTCTCTATCTTTTCTCTCTCTCTCCCTCTCTCTCTTTTGTTAAAGATTTAAAAAAATTTTAAAAGGAGAAAAACGGTTGTTAAGGTTCATAAATTATTTTTCTGAAATCAAACTTCAAACATTCATTTCCAAACAGGTTTTAAGGTATATGATGATGATGATGATGATGATGATGCATTCAACGTGACACAACACAACAAAATGGCGAAACTTTCCCTTGAAATAAAATACAAAAAAATACATTCCGCTACTGTTTCGTTTTTTTAAACGTACATTTTTACAACATATTCTTTCGTAAAAACAACAAAAAAAAATCATTTTCGAAATAGGGGGGTGGGAGGGGGAAAAAAAAAACATTTCGTTCGCATGTATGCAAAAGATACGGTCGGAAACTGAAAAGGGAAAAACCAGGAACCCCGCCTGCAATTTAAAAAAAGGAAGGAAAGAAAGATCGGGAAAAAAAAAGAAATGAAGGGAGGTGGTTTCGAGACAAATTACACATGAATATATAGGTTGTGGAAATGTGAAGAAAGTCTCGTAGAAACCATATATTCAAACTACGTGGTTTGAATATATTCATAATAAAGAGAAGAAAAAAAAATTGTATTTGATTCTTTCAATTTCTCAAACACATTTTACCTAAATGTTCAACCATTACGCTCTTAGTATTGTTATTATCATGAAAAGTTTTTCCAGGTCTATTATCGATACCTTAGAAATGTCTTAATATCCATTCATAGGTTTCCACTCCGACCCCCCTTTCCTCACAACCTAAACAAAAAATTTTTTGGTAAACCTTCCATTCTTTGGTATATTTTAAACTCAACTCCTTACACACTTCTGGAGTATCCAGTAAAAATCACATTGAGATGTCTTACTTAACCTAAACATTTACCCCTCCCCCCTTAAAAAAAAAACCGTTTTGACACTCCCTACTGTTATTATTATTATTATTATTTGCATGCTGGTTGTTAATAAATATTTAATTAAATTATTGGTCTTCTCTCTTAGTTTAGTTCTTTCATTTTTGTTCAATTCAAAATGAAAAAATTACAGAAATACAAAAAAAAAAAATTTCCAATGTCATGCATGTCAGTCAGTCAGTCAGTCAGTCAATCAGTCAATCAATCAATCAGTCAAAACAAGAATTAAAATGTGACATTAAAAAACCGTTAAATTTAAAAAAAAAAATTGTTACTCCATAACCCCAATGAACCTTTACTGCACACACCTCATCCAAAATGGTTAAACAATGAAATTTGTTTGAAATCAAATATTATATAAATTAATTTCTAATTATAAAGTTTACCATGCTACAAACAACAACAACAACAACAACAACCATCATCAATTATTATTATTATTATTATTACAAATCTCTGAAAAATTTTTTTTAAATTTTTTGGTCGTTTTGTTGTTTACATATATATAAACAACAACAACTCAGAGAAAATTTTTAATTAAAATTTTTGTTTAAATATTGTTGTTGTTGTTGTTGTTATTAATTGAAACAAATCTTTACCTTTTAATATAGTTTTGTGGAGAAAAAACCTTGTCATAAAACAAACAGCAGCAGCAGCAACAACAGCAACAGCAAAATGTCAAACGTCATCATTTGAATGAAATATTTCCATTTGTAATTTGACATTTTTTTGTTGAAACCGACATTTTGCTGAAAAATAAAAAAATTATTTAGATAAGATTATTCATGCAACAATTAAAAAAAAAAAAATTGTAATTTGATCATGTTAAACAATTAAATAAAACGTTTTATTTCTTATCAACTTATTATTCTCATTACAAACAAAAATGTTTTGTAATAATAATAATAATAATAATTCAACCACCCTTTTTTTCAAGGTTTTTTTTTGTTTTTTTTTTTTTGTTGAAAAAATTTACCGTCACGATATTTATTTGCAGAACCGCAAAAAAAAAAAAAAAAAAAAAAGAATTTTTGAAACCCTTTTTTTGTGTTAATATCATTATTGAATCCGAATGATTTAATTGTTAAATAACGTTAAACTATAGAATTTAATTTTGAAATCGGTAAATGCAAATGGCGACCATATTAATTTTTAATTCTAAAACGTTAAAGCTTTGACCCGAAACAAAATAAAAAACATTTCATCGCAAAAAAATTTTATATTTCCTCCATTTTTTTGTTTTGTTAAATAAATGTTTACGTACGAGATAAATCATTATTTACGATCGATTTCATCCATTTTCCATTACGGAAAAAAAATATTTATTTAAATAATGAAAAAATTAAATGCACGCGGAACAAACGAAAAACGAAAACTCACATAAGTAACCGTCGGTTCAAACTGTGACGTCATTAGAGTACGTTCAAAAATTTTAAAAGTGGGATGGGGAATTGAAGGCGGCGGTTCAAAAATTTGTCGAAAAATTGCAAAAAAGAGTCGCAAAAAAATTAAAAATGAATTTGTATGTATAGAAAATGAATGAATGAATGAACGAACACCGTGCCAACGTTTAATTATTAAATAAATAACAAAAAATTTTCGTTTTTTCATACCCGCAGCATTTTAAAATGCCGCCATATTTTTTTTT